TGGTCCTTCTCTTCATGCCCACTGGATGGTATGTTCACTGATTTCAGAGAGAGAGGAAGAGAGAAGCATGGCTCAGCTGCCTCCTGTACGTGCCTGGACCAGGGGTGGAACCATAGGGGAGGGTATGTGCCCTGACCAGGAATGGAACCTGCAACCTTTCAGTGTGCGGGATGACCAGACTGACTGCCCAGCCGGAGCGCCTGCTTTCTGATGAGGAGTGATGTTAGCTAACCACCAAGGCATTCCCATATGGCAGTGGTCGGCAAACTGCGGCTCTCGAGCCACATGCAGCTCTTTGGCCCCTTGAGTGTGGCTCTTCCACAAAACACCACGTGTGGGCGCGCACATACAGTGCGATTGAAACTTCGTGGCCCATGCGCAGAGGCCGGTTTTCGGCTCTCAAAAGAAATGTCAATCGTTGTCCTGTTGGTACTTGGCTCTGTGGACTCATGAGTTTGCTGATCTCACCGGGGGTGCTGCATGAGAGGCCATGCTTCCCGCAGGGAAGTACCCGGAACAGGCAAATGCACGGAGATGGAGAGGAAGTGTGGGGGGGGAGAGAGGGAAGGGGGGCCGCTGAGATAGTGTACACTGAGGCAGGGCGAGAGTGGCCTGCTGCCTCATGTGCCTAAGGTGGTGAGTGTGACGGCAGGTGAATTACAGCTCAGATAAAAGGGGCGTGGTCAGCTCCCAAATGCTTGCTCCTTGGCAGTCGGTGGCGGTGGGGAGGGTAGCAATGGGGAGGGTGGCGGTGAGGATGGTGGGGAGGGTGGTGGTGGGGAGGGTGGCAGGTGGCGGGGGGCAGAATGACTCTGAGGCATGTGTTGCTCATGGCTGACGCTTGATGGCATTCGCATGACGGGCTCCGGGCTAAGACTTCACAGGGATTAGCGTCCTCGAGATGGGTGTGTGCAGTCAGCCATGGTCATTGCCCTTCCCCACCTGTGGCACCGCCCAGACCCCAACCCGGAGCCCCTGCTCTGCCACTGTGGCAGCCAGCTTTGGTGCCCCCGGGACTGTGTGTGCATGTGGGCGTGCACCTGTGTGCACACGTGTTTATCATGAGTGCCCATATGTGTGATTTTGCATTTTGTGTATATTATGCATATATGTACACACATGTATGTGAGTGCCCATGCGTGTTGTATGTGTGCACATGCCATGTGTGCCTGTGTGTGCGTATCTCCCACACCCTTGAAGGAGCCTGAGCACCTGCCAGGGAGGCTCTGGTCCTGGCTGCACCGGGTGGTCCCGGAGGGATGGAGCTGGCTGAGAGGGTGACAGCTCCCAGGAAGCCCGCCTGCGCCTGCGCCTCAGGGTGCTATGGGCCAGAGGCTGGGTCAGGACCAGAAGCAGCCCTCCATGCCGGCCCCTCCCCCTGAGCTTCCAGACCAGCAGAGGCCCAGCTCTGCCAGAAATCACACACCCAGGCTGGCTCTCCCCCACCCAAGGCTCCATGTCCTCAGCTCAGGCGCAGTAACAAAGCCTGGAGGCTGGAGGCTGAGGCTGAAGCCAGGAGAGGCAGGCTGGTCCCCCCACCCCCCGGCCCCCTGCAGGCTGGAGGCTGAGGCCAGGCGAGGTAGCCTGGTCCCCCGCTTACCTCCCCCCCCCTCTCCCCCGCAGGCTGGAGTCTGAACCTGAGGCCAGGCGAGGCAGCCTGGTCCCCCCTTACCTACCCCCCCCTCCGCCCCGCAGGCTGGAGGCTGAGGCCAGGGGAGGCACCTGGTGTCGTTCCCCCCCCCCCACCCCCCAGGCTGGAGGCTGAGGCCAGGGGAGGCAGCCTGGTCCCCCCCTTACCTTTCCCCCCTTACCTTTCCCCCCCTCTGCCCCGCAGGCTGGAGGCTGAGGCCAGAGGAGGCACCTGGTGTCGTTCCCCCCCCCACCCCCCCGGCTGGAGGCTGAGGCCAGGGGAGGCAGCCTGGTTCCCCCCCTCCCCCCAGGCTGGAGGCTGAGGCCAGGGGAGGCAGCCTGGTTCCCCCCCTCCCCCCAGGCTGGAGGCTGAGGCCAGGGGAGGCAGCCTGGTCCCCCCAGGGCTCTCTCCTTGGCGTGTGGACGGCCGTCCTGTCCGGCCCTCCCCGTGTCCTCACGTGGCCGTCCCTCCGGGGCTGTCTGTCCTCATTCCATCCTCTCAGGACGCCCGTCGCATTGGATCAGGGCCACCCTAGTGACCTCATTTCACTCAACCACCTCGCCGCCCGACGCAGCCGCGTGCTGTGGGCCGGGTCAGGCCTGGGCCGTGTGCGGTTTGGGGGAGGGGCACGTAACTCAGCCCAGGACACACGAAGACGGCGTGGGCTCTGAGCCACACCGGCCCGGTCACGCCTGGCACGGGTCCCTCCCTGCTGTGGGCCAGTCACTCCTCTCCAGACCCATCCCTGCTCTGAACCATCAGTCACAGGAGAATCCCGGAGGTGCCCTGCCCCTGCAGCGCCTGCAGCCCCTGCACAGCCCCTCCACAGCCCCTGCACAGCCCCCGCTGCAGGAAGAACAGTGTCGGCCGTGGGTCTCCAGACGCCTCTCTGACCCTGCACTCCACCGGCTATGGGAGTGAGGAGGCACCCTAACAGCTGCACACTACCTGCAAGGAGACAGAGGCTTACCAAGGTCAAGTCCTTGCTCAAGGTTGCCTAGCTGGGAGATGGGGGTGGGCAGCCAGCTTGGAGGGGGGGGGTCAGGTATGTCTGTGCCTCCCCTCTGCCTTCTGAGCTCTGGGAATGCAGAAACAGGCTCGATCTCGCACATACACCCCAGTCCCAGCCAGGGACCCTTGTGAAATAGCTTCTCCACTCTTGGCTTCACAGGCGGGAAGGGGGATAGGGGGGTGGACAAAGAAGTAGGGGGAGGGTCAAGATATTTGCTTTGTGCTCTGTGTCATCCTGGCCTCCAGAGGTTGTGTCTGAACCTCCGACAATGACCCTGAGTGTGAAATGAAAGCACCTGCCCAGCCACAGAAGGAACCGTTGGACCGTTGGAGGGAGCGGGCGGTTGGATGGGGACTGGCTGCTCTGCCCCAGATACAGCCGTTCCCTGCAGATGGATGGTGCTGCCATTACCTGCACCTGAAGCCATGGGGCGGAGGACACCTCTGGGCTTTCATCCCAGGAGCTTTTGCTAAGAATCAGGTCACCTTTCAGCCAGGATGGGGCCCTCAGCGAGCCCAATGTCCCCAGTGCTAATGGTAGGGCCCTTTGGGATCGGAAAGCCAGCTTCCTCCAGTGTCCGGTGTCGGGAGGGGGGGTGCGCGTCTGCCTGGGGTTCATCAGGTCGCAGGCGCTGTTCCCAGGGCACTTCTCAGGTGGGTGAATGAGCTTTGTGAACTGGCCGTGCTTTGAAAATGCAGGTGCCCAGGCCCTGGCTCTGCTCACGGTGAGGGCTGTGCCGCCATCTGGTGGCTGGATGGAAACCACACACGCAACAGCCATTGCAGGGCAGTTTCCCGGTCAAGTCAGGGAATAGAGGGCATGTTTTTGCCCCCCCCCCCCCCCCCCCACACACACACCGCGCTGTCCGCCATCCCAGAACTGTGCCCGGGGCCTTCACCAGCACGCCGGGCTGGAGGGGCAATGGCACTGGATGCAGGGACTCTGCGTGTCCACGTTAACACTTTTTCTTTTTTTAAAGGAAAGACTATTTGCTCTGTGAAAAGGCAAAGAAGTGACTGACAAATGTGTCAGTGGTGCATTGATCTGTGTGATTGGAGAGGCAGTGTCTGGAAGGAAATACCAGGATGGAACAGCATCACAGGGTAAATGAGAACGCACAGGACGCATCCGACAGTTTGCTGTCCCAGCCGGGCGTCCGCACACCCCAGCCTCACCGTGGGAGTTGGAGGGAGGAGGGACGGGTTCACACGAGACCTAGGTTCTCCCCTAGCTGGCTGCGTGGCCCTGTGCAGGGCGCTGTGCCCCCTGACCCCGGGCTTTCCGTCTGCTGCCTAGGCCTCGCCGGGCTGAGTGCAAGGGCTGGTGGGGAAACCAGGAGTCAAACCTGAATCTGTCAAAGCTGGCACTGTCATCTGCAGCCATGCTGATTTTCTACGAACCCCCCCTCCCCCCCCCCCCACGTCTCACCGTGGCCTGTGACTCTGAGTCAGAGCGACACACGACAGGGTTTGGGTGCTTTCATTCTGGTCCTTCCTGCAGCTCTACAGGCAGTTACTCTTCACGTGCAGGTCCCGTTTGGAAATCACAGGGCAGGACTCAGTCCCACAGGCTGCAGTGTGCTGGGGGAGGGGTGTGTGTTCAGGAAGCCGACAAGCAGCGGACCTGGGCGGCAGTGCCGTGGGCGAGGGGAAATGAGACGCTTGGAGGAACGGAGCTGCTCCTCTCAGACCAGAAGAGACCAGAGAAGGCGGAGCCCAGTCCGCCGCGGCCTGGCCAGCGAGGGGCAGCCAGGACACGCTCCGTTCTGATGGTGAAGGAGCCCCTGTCCCAGGACAACCAGGACCTGTCCTTAAAGGGGAGCCCTTCATTTTGTTACTACCATGGTCTTTAGGTTAACAAACATGCTGAAGGAAACATTATGTAGCAAGGCAAGTTTCATTTATTCAAATTAAATTACAGTATGACTTTCATATACAAATAAAATCTGTAAATAGAAAACGCTATAAATTTCAGTCATGTAAAAATATTTGTATTTTACATATGTGTGTGTGTGTGTGTGTGTGTATATATGTGTATATATATATATATATATATATATATATATATATGTTTCCCCTTTAGCATGACCACAATGTACAGTAGTTGCCCCCACATGCCTAGCTTCCACAGTGAGTCGGGGCCGTTCCTCCCACCCCCGTGCTCAGGCGGCTTCCAGTTTCCGGCCAATCAGGAGGGACCCGTGCCCCGTGTCCGGCAGTGAGAGGGCTGCGCAGGGGACGCTGCCTCCTGGACACTGGCCTCCTGGACACGGTGTCCACGGCAGAGCAGCACGCAGTGTTGGCATCCTCGGGCTCAGCGTCCGGCATCAGCATGGCTGGCGCTGGCAGAGGCGCGGCATCACTGGTCCAGCTCGCCCTCGTTCTGCAGCGTCTTCATCGCCAGCCCCCACAGGGTCATGCTGGAGAAGAAGGGCCCGTCCGTGCTCCGGTGCCCTGCGCCCGCCGCCCGGCCGCCCAGGGGGTCGCCGCAGTGGTTGTCCAGCGTGGCCAGAGAGGGGCGGACGGTGGCCATGCTGTCCGTGGGCAGCGGCCCGTCGCTGGTGGAGGCGTCGGCGGCTGAGAAAGCGAAGGCCTGAGGCTGTGTGAGCTGCCCGGGGGCCTTGGCGAGTTTGCCAGGATCCGCACCGAGCTTCTCCGGGTGGCCGACCCCCCGTGGCTGAGGCGTGGCCCGGAACTTACAGTAGGAGCCGGCGGCGTGGCCGTCCAGTTCTGTCTCGGGCTCGTCCCCCGGGGGGGCGGGGAGCTTCACGGACACGGGCATCAGAGTCACAGACACGTCCTGGGGGAAGGCGTCGGAGCTGGGGGCCTTGTCCAGGCTGGAGGCCCTGACGGCGGGGGCGAGCTCCCGCGGCGCGTCCCGGCTCCCGCCGTCCGCGCGGCAGTGCGTCCGCCGGTGCCGCCGCAGCACGGCCGCGCGGGTGAAGCACTTGTCGCAGATCTCACACGTGTACGGCTTCTCCCCGGTGTGCGTGCGGACGTGCCTGCGGAGGTCCCCGGACCCCCCAAAACTCTTCCCTGCGTGGAGAGAGGGATCACCTCAGAGTGGAGCCTGCCGCCACCCGCTCTGCCAGTCTCCCCCTCCGCCCCCTGGGTGTGGGCCTCTCGGTGCCAGCCTCCTGGACCCTGTCCGCCTGCACAGGAGCCCTGCTGGCAGCTGCCCACCCTGCCGGCTGGTGGGTGCTGGAAAACCCTGCAGTTTCGTTTAAATTTCTGCGAACCTAGAGCAGCCGGTCCATCACAGGAAACACTCTGCTCACGGCCTCTGTGCGCGCAGCTCTCACTACAACTCTGCCCCTATGCCCCGGTTCCAGTTCCTTTCCCTGTGCACAGCATCAGGCGGGGTTTGTTCCCGCAGTCAGAGTTGCTAAGGGGTCAATAACCTTATAGAAGTCCTAATGTCATTACAAAGGAGTGAACCCTACACACGTATGTACACGGATGTTTCCCTGCTCCCTCGTCTGCATGTCACTCTGCATTCTCGGCTCTCCAGCCCTGGCCAAGCAAAGGTGGGCTGTCTAAAAACACTGCCTTTGAACAAACTAGATGTCGATGCCCACGTGTTATATTCTGGGGACTTTTCTGTTAGCCTAAAAATAAAAGGCCTTTCAAAGCAAGAGGCAACTGGCATTAATTGAGATCCCTTAAGAATTCAGGAGGCACTGAGGCAGAAGCCTGCCTGGGTTCTGATGGGGGACAGAGGCGGGTGTGTATGAGAAAGGGAAGGGGAAGTGACGTCACGGAGGGAAGGCGCTGCTACCGGTGCAGCCCAGCTACCTTAGTGCCACTAATTCTCAGCCAGGTTTGTAATTTCCAGTCCGGTGGTCACCAGACCAGCAGTTAGAACTGCGTCCTTGTCTCGGCAAACGGTTCTCTGGAGAGTGTGGCCCTGGGCCCATCCAAAGTTACCACACGGGACGGGACAGGACGGGGCGGGAGGGGAGGGGAGGGGACGGGACGGGCGGCCTGGTCTGTGGCCACTCACCGCAGGCTGTGCAGCTGTAGGGCCGCTCCCCCGTGTGCCGGACCCGGTGCCTCACCAGCTTCCTCTGCATGTTGAAGGACTTCCCGCACTCGTCACAGGTGAACACTTTGTCCGCCGTGTGTGTCTTCTTGTGCTCCTTCAGGTTGCTGAAGTTACTGAAGCCTGAGAGACATGACCGGGTCAGCGCAGGGCCGCTCCCCGGCAGTGCCTCCAGAAAGAAAAGCAAAGCGCAGCCCACCTCGGCCACAGGTGTCGCACAGGTGCGGCTTCTCGCCCGAGTGAATGACGATGTGACGCTGGACATCCCCCGAGGCTGCGAACCTGCAAGGGACGGGAAATGCAGCTGAGAGCCGGTCCGCCTCCCGGGTGTAATCAGAGCGCCCGGCTTCACGGGAACGGGCATGAAAGTATCTTTCCCTCCCCCCCTTTAAAGGGACGCAGGAAATAGTGCAGGGTTGTTTGTAGAACACTTTTTCCACCTTGTGCATCAATCTCCTTCAGAGATGGCCACCGATGGCTCAGCTTAGGAAGCCATTCCCGCCCAGGCCTGGGATGGGAAATCCAGGCGTGTTCCCTCCCACCACCCTAGAGCAGTGGTCGGCAAACTCATTAGCACAGAGCCAAATATCAATAGTACAACGACTGAAATTTCTTTTTAAACTTAAACTTCTTCTAACGTCTTCTTCAAGGTAGACCCGCCCAGGCCGAAGGCCGACTTCTTCCCATGGGCCACAAAGTTTCAATCGCACTGCACGTGCGCGCCTCCATGTGGTATTTTGTGGAAGAGCCACACTCACGGGGCCAAAGAGCCGAATGGGGCTTGCGAGCCGCAGTTTGCCGACCACTGGGCTAGAGGAATGACAACAGGGAGGCACGTGAGCCTGGGAAGGTTTGACGTGTTTCTACCACCTGCAGAGACACCCGTTTTCTGGGACTGCGTCACGGCAGCCCCCGGTGTGCCCACCGTGCCCCGCTTCCTGCACAGGCGACTGGCTGCGCCAGGGCCGCTTCCCTCCCGCCCCAGACTCTGCCTGCGGCCGTCACAGCCCTCACAGGGCAGGTAGCGCTGCCTGGATGGACGGCGAAATGAACGGCTATAAATGTGACTGGTACGGCCCTGGCTGGTGCCTGGGGTCCAGCGTGACCGTCAGGGGAGAGCAGTGGACTCCGATACCTGACCACTGAGAGGGGCGCAGGCCAGCGTGCGGCTGTGTGCACGCCGGAGGGACCCTCCCTCCCCGCCCAGTGAGACTGCGCCAAGTGCCCTGGGCTGAGCCCCGCCTGCCTTCCCGCTGCCGGGTCCCACGGCCTGAGGCCGGGCCGGGCAGCCAGGCTGCAGGGCTCACGGCCCTGTGAGGCACTCACCTCCGTGGACGCTCATCTGTTTCCATGGCCACTTTTAGAGAGAATGGACATTTCAGTGTAAAATCACCGTGCCGTGTAAAATCCCATTTCTAAGACTTCTGTCCTGGGTGTCCCTTCTCTGGATGGCCGTCCCTGACCCTTTGTTACTCATGTGTCACATGTAAGCTCCGCAGAGGGTCTGACAGGCCTGCACTCCTCTGTGGAGTGAGCCGACGCGGCTTGTGTGCGAGCCCACAGCGCACTGCTTCCCACGGGGACCAGACAGAGGGGTCCCTACAGGCGGGGGACAGCCCCGGCACTGACCTCTTGCCACAGACTTCGCAGATGTAGGGTTTTTCACCAGAATGCCGACGCAAGTGAGTCTGCAAGTTACCTGCCTGCAAAAAAGGAGAAGCAAAAGCATGCCAGGAATGTAAGGGTTTTTGAAAAACAGGTCCCATCCATTTGAATGGAAGACTGGCAGACCCAATCAGGTCCCAGTCCACCTTCCCAGGGAGACTAGACACACAACGCAGAAGGAGCCACATGCAAGAGGAAGGACTGCCCACTTCTAACGGGGGTGCTGCCCTCTGTTTGCTCCTGGGCCAAGGGCTGCATCGGCTGTGCCATCGCAGGCCTGCCCTGGGCCGCTTCTCTTAGATGGGCAGCACAGTGCAGGTGCGGTGGAGGCTGCCACGCTTGGTACTTTAAACTGACCTCGATGTGTTATTTCATGTAGTTTTAAATGTGGACTGTCTCTATGCAAGCGGCACTGGAGAACAGCAGCAGCACTTGCATCTGGCTTCTCCCTGAGAAGCATGCCTTGGTTAGAAAGGCCAGACTCCCCAGCATCTCCCCCTCCGCAGCGGCTGCTCTGCGTGGCGGGCTGTGACGCAGTCCTGTGTGCAGAAATGAAGTCAGGAGTCACTGCAGCCCTCCATGGCAGGGACTCCGGCTCCCGGTTTCTGACACCAGCAGGCTGCCAGTACTCAGCATAGGCCAGTGGTCGGCAAACTCATTAATCAACAGTGCCAAACAGCAACAGTACGATTGAAATTTCTTTTGAGAACAGTTTTTTAAACTTAAACTTCTTCTAACGCCACTTCTTCAAAATAGACTCGCCCAGGCCATGGTATTTTGTGGAAGAGCCACACTCAAGGAGCCAAAGAGCCGCATGTGGCTCTTGAGCCCTGCTTGCGACCACTGGCATAGGCCATCAATATGAAACTGCCCGCAGCGAGGCTGAGACTGCAGATGCCTCAGACGTTAAGCACTCCGGCTACTACTTCCAGCTCAGACGCAGAAGCGGCATTTCCCACTGCGGAGACTTCAGTTAGCAGTCTCGGTCTGTCACACCCCTACTTAATTTTTTATAGAGTTCTGTTAAAAGCAAACACTGAAATAAGCGAGGATACCCACGGGAAACAATGCTCAGGCATTATGCACAGAATAAGCCAAGAAGGGGGAGTGAATAGTAATACCAACTAACACACCTGGCTTTGTAAATCTGCAGTTTTAAAAAATATATATATTTTTACTAAATTCAGGGCACGGGTAGGGTCCCTAGGCCTGGCGGGCAATCAGGGCCAATAGGAACCTTCCAGCTGCCAGCTGGGGCCTTCCTTTGTTCCGCACTGCCCCCATGGTCAACACACATCATAGCAGGTGATCGAGCTCCCAGTCTCCTGGTCGAACTCCGGAGGAGGCAATTTGCATATTAGGCTTTTATACATATAGATTTTAGAGAGGAAGGGAGAGGAAGAGATAGAAACACTGATCTGCTGCCTCTTGCACTTGCCCTAATGGGGAATGTGCCCTTAACAGGAATCAACCCGGGACTCTTCAGTCTGCAGGCCAACACTCTATCCACTGAGCCACACCAGCAAGGGCTAAATCTGCAGCTTAAAAAAAATAATTAAATGCAAAAGAGAATCCTTGGTGACAGGTTTGAAATGAGTCTGAAGTCCACCTGTGGGTGGAAACGTAAAACATACAGGAACAGAAACAGGAAGCTCATCATTCATGTAACAATTCAAACAGGTTGGGATTGTCTGTTATGACATGGAAGTCTCTCCGTCTGTCAGACACTGAGAAACACTGGGTTACATCCTATCTTTTAGAATGATAAATATGGTTTACACAAAATCTCAGGTTCATTTTAGGTAACCAAAGAAAAAGAACTTGGCAAAATATTGGGAAATACCCAGCTTTTAACAGAATGACTATGAATAACGATGATAAAGTGACCGCCAGCCAGTGTGGCTCAATGGTTGAGTGTTGACCTATGAACCAAGAGATCACAGCTCCATTCCTGGTCAGGGCACATGAGAGGGGGTGTGCAGGAGGCAGCTGATCAATGATTCTCTCTCATCACTGATGTTTCTATCTCTCTCTCCCTTCCTCTCTGAAGTCAATACAAATATATTTTTTTAAAATAGTATGAAGCGACAAATGCTAGTACCGTGTTTCCCCGAAAATAAGACATCCCCTGAAAATAAGACCTAGCGCAACTTTGGGAGAAAAAAATTAATCTAAGACTGTCTTATTTTTGGGGAAACAGGGTAGCAATGTATATCTGGTCTACTTAAGCCTTCACACACATTATCACGTTACCATTAGTGATTGGCATTGAAATCTATTTTCTAGAGGTTCAGCTAAGGTGGGCTGGGCCAGGATTGAATGCCGTGTGTGAGCTGCCGTCTTACCTGCGGGAAACCTGAGGACAGCACATGTCTGTGGCTAACCTGGCTTGTGTTGAACACTCAGTGTGACAAAGTCACTTTGCTCTAAGGAAACAGCCTACTGGAGTTACAATAAGGCACCACTGGCTTTGTTAGATCAGTCACTTCCAAATTTCAAAAAAGCTCATCAGTCATGGAACCATTCAAACAGCACTATCTGCTCAGCTGTTAAATGAGATCCCTCCTTTCTAGCTATTTTGTAAACTATGTATTAACATGGAAATTGTCTCTGAATCATTCCTAGCAATGCTGCATGTTCCCTCTTTAAGTCAAGGATAACAATTGCCTATTTTCCAAGTAAATATAATCAAATCGTCTTACACTCAATATTATAATAAGCACAGTGAAAATTTTTAAATGTTTCTTTAGATATTTAATAGTGGAAATGAATAATTGAAATAATTATCTTTTCACACAAAAAGAAGCACATATTAGTCTAATAAATGATATAAAAGTAGATTAAATAATAAAAAATTCAGGTAAAATTGAGTGTTTAAGTTACAGATACCTTAAGAGGCTTCCCTCACAACTCTTAATGCCTGTCTTATCCTATCTAATAAAGAGGGAATATGCAAATTGACCATCGCACGGTCACAAACATGGCGGCGCCCACAGCAGAGGCAGCGTTTCCGTAACACAAGATAGCTGCACCCACAGTGGAGGCTGAGTTCCCATAATGAGCCTTAAAGAGCAATCAGCAGGGACCTGAGGCTGCATGGTGCTGGGCCGGGGCAAGGGACCCAAGCCTGTGCCCCTGCCCGGTGGGGCTTGACAGGGGATCTCAGGCCATGCTCCCCATCCCAGCACCAGGCTGGGCAACCTCAGATCATCCCCTGCCCCGGCCAGGAGATCTGAGGCTGCACCCCCAACCCTATGCTGGGCCAGGAGACCTGAGGCTGTGCCCCCGTGCCCGGCAGGGTTTGACAGACCTGGCAGGGCTTGACAGGGGACCTCCAGGTATGCCCCCTGCCCCGTGCTGGGCCAGGAGTCCTCACCCTGGGCTGGGGGATCTCAGGCCTTGCCCCCTACCCCAGGGCCAGGAGACCTGAGGCTGTGCCCTCGGCCCGGAAGGGCTTGACGGGGGATCTCAGCTGTGCCCCTTGCTGGCGGGACTTGAGAGGGGACCCTAGGGCGTGCCCCCCGCCCCGGTGCCAGGCCAGGGGACCTTAGGTCATGCCACCCACCCTGGTGCCAGGCCGAGGGACCTCAGGCTGCACCCCCATCCTGACACTAGAAGACCTGAGGCTGCAACCCCGCCTGGCAGGGCTTGACGGGGTGGGTCTGGCTGGGTCTGCGTCTCTCAAGATTTTGAGGCGCCGTGAGTGGGCAGGGACTTGACTCTGGATCCCACAGCATGCCCAACTCTGACAGAGAAAGATTTTCATATACATTTTACTAATTTTCTTTCATCTCTGACACGTCTATTATAGAGGAAGGGCAAATAGCAATATTAAATTATTTCCCCCCTTTTACTGTGCACGAATTTTGTGCACTGGGCCACTAATCTACACTAATAAAAGAGAAAGATGCAAATGGACCATATCTTCACGATGCCCACCAGCCAATCAGGAGTATGCAAATTAACCCAACAAAGATGGCAGATTAATTTGCATACACAGGCACCAAACGGCCAGGGGCAAGGCGGGATGCTTGCATCGTTACCATGGTGATGACGCAGGCATTCAGCACTGCCCCAGCTGCTACGGGCCTTTGTGCAGTCTGAGAAGGTGGAAAGGAAGCTCTGGCCTGAGCGAAGGCAGTGCTGGCAGCCAGGGGAAGGAAGGCCCATTCCTGCACGTATCTTCATGCATTGGGCCTCTGGTTTACAATAAAAATCAACACTAGGTTTCAGGTTTCCAATTATTAACAATAAATAAAAGTATTCCCACCTGAGAGAAATGTTTCCCACAAATGTTACACTCAAAAGGTTTCTCACCTAAAACAAAGCAAAACAACAGCTGGTAAAATCATTTGTATTATCTGCACAACCATCTTCTATTTAAAATGTTTAAACTATCCCGTGCCCACCATTTAAAGCAGAGACTACGCTTCATCACGAGTGTATGAAAACCGGAGTCCACATCTCTTCCCCATCTCTTGACCCTAGATAGTGGGCGGGGATGACACACTGAAATCTGTGATTAGTTTTCTCTAAAAAATCAAACTGTGCCTTAGCTGGTTTTAGAGAATCGGCCTGCAGACTGAAGGATCCCGGGTTCGATTCTAGCCCAGGGCACGTGCGTAGGTTGTGGGCTCCATCCCCTGTGTGGGGTGTGCAGGAAGAAGCCAATCTATGATTCTCTCTCAACACCGACGTTTCTCTCTTTCTCCCCCTCTCCCTTCCTCTCTGAAGTAAATAAAAACATATTTTAAAAAAATCAAATTGTTCTCCAAATATAAACCTATGTTGAAGTCAAACTTAACTTGTTAGCATTCAAACCCTGCCTAGGTTTTGGGCTTGAAAATCAACCGTGAGTTTCTTTGCTGAAGGGCCTGAACCCGTTTACAGTCCCTCAGCCCGACTCCTTCACTTTCCCACCAGCTCTTGAGAGAACTGGAGTCTCGTTCACACTCGGGAGGTGTGGACATGGCACAGCCCCAAACCCAGAGGGACCTCCGGAAGGTGGGCAGGGCAACGCCCTTCCCCTGCCTTTGGCCTTGGCTGATCATGCCCCCGGGAGAAAACAAGAGGACATTATGAGAGCCACATCTGAGTTTGGAAACTCTAATTACACTTTGGTATAGAATAACCTGCGGAGAATGGAACTCTGCCAAGAAATCACACAGCCCTGCATACAGTCTCCAGAAAATGATCATTTTAACAGTCTGCTTCCAGGGGCCACCTTGAACCTAGGTAACTAATAAACAGGCTGGCAGACCAAGAACCTTCTGCTTCCCCCTCCCCTTCCCACAAGTGGTTCACTCTCTTTTAACAATGACAACACCCCTTCCTTCAACACTGCCGCTGCTAGCTTTCTGGGCTCCCGTTTAATGGCTTCTTTCTGGAGCAGGTGGAAAGCTTTTGACTGAATAATTATAATCATATTACTTCTGTATTTTGGGACATTTATGTTGGAAATTATGGGGAGAATAATGTTAAGTTAAAGCCCCCATTATGTGAACCAAGAGTTTGAAGAAGAGGCCGCTGGTTATTAAGACCCCAAGGGACCAGAACTGACAACCTTCCCCAGTGGTTCTCAAACGCTCTGCTCTCAGGATCCCTTCACACTCTTCCTGAGAACCTGAAGCAGGTGCTTATGCGGGCCACATCCGTCAGCACGTCCACCTTAGAAATGAGGATGGAGTGATTTTAACCCATGACTAGACATCTCACTGGCCACGTGAGTGAGGACAGCCGTTAGCCAACTCCACTGCCCTTGTGGGAGCAGACAGACAGGCAAGTAACATCTGACAAGGCAGCACAGACCCTGCCTGCGAGAGCTCCTCGGATTGTAAATCGAGGACCACTGCTCTCTCAATAGAGTATTTACATCCAACTGAACATCTCTGCCATAATGGATGGCATTACTGTTTAAAAGAACAATTTAATTTTTAAAGCTAAACAGACATGTTTCTCAAACATTATACTGATTATGAGGCTCTAGGAAACTTAAGCAAATAGAATGACCTAAATTAAGGTTTTTTCTGGCAAAATTGAATCAGTGATACTGCCTTCATATGAAGAATACTTCTGAACTACTAGTAACAATAAAGGTGATATTTGATATATTCAAATACACTACAATTTATAAAGAGCTTTCATGAATATTTAAGTAAGTCTCTCTCCACAATGCACTGGGATGGTCAACACCTACACCGGAGTCAGTGACAGCAGTGTCACACCAAAAATTGCAGTGGCACAAACATCTTGAAAGCAGTTACTGGAAGCATCTGTAGCCCATCACTTCGCATGCCTATAAGGTAACTGCCATTCACCTGCAGTGTGCACTAGAGCCCTCCTGTCTAAGTGCAGGAAGGAATACATACGTACTGTATAAGGTAAAGTGCATGTGCTATACAACATTTTTTAAAAAGCTTTTGGAAAAAATAAACTTTTTGGAAAGGCTAGGAGGTATAAATTAAGGAAATAAAACTTTGAAAAGTCAATGTTCAAAATGAAAGAACTTTCATTGGAAAATATCAAATGGTTAAAGCTGATCCTTTTTAAATCCTTATTAAAAAGTTTACCTCCCACCTTCCGAATCACAATCTTTAAAATCTGATATGCACATTTCTTTCCAGAGAACTTTTAGGATTACTCAAGCTAAACTATTTTAGCCTGAATTGACCTACATTCTGTTTTTAAAGAATGAACTTAACCTAATTCTAAAGAGACAACTAAATATCGCTTATCTGTTTTAGAACTTGAAAATTTCAGTCCATCAAAATAATTTACTATACTTCTTTAGAGATGGAACGTTTGTCATAAAAACCTAATTAAAATAAAAATGAAGCGTGACATCTTTTAAAACTGGCTCTAATGCAAGTATCTATAGATTAGGCTTTAAGAGGCATCACCAAAAATATGAATTAAAAAGTAGCAATCTTGACTGCAAATGTTAAAGCAATAGCAAAACTTCTTACAGAGAGGGCAGGCACGGTGTGGTCTGCGCGCTCCCTGTCCGGGCTCTCGGCACCGGGTCATGTGCGTGTACCTGTATGGGACCGTTTGTGAAGCTCCAGGTTGCTCGGGTGTTTGAAAGGCTTCCCACACAGGTCGCACGCGTACTGCCACGGGGACTGCGGCATCTGGGACGGGTCCTCGGCAGCCTCCACGTCTTCGGGCCGCTCCGTTTTGACGATGCAGGGAAAGCTGTCGGCACTGCCGGGCTCTTCCTGTTCCTTCTCCCCGCCGCTCTGACTGCCGGCTTTCTCTGTGGTGTCACTAGCAGGGCCAGTCCTCTGGGTTAGATCCTCATCCGCCGTGGGCTCAGCCATCTGCTCTGCAGATTTCTGTGACTTCAGGAAATTGAGCTTCTTGAGGTGAACGGCCTTTTTGAGCCTCATCTGTCTGGGGGGTGGCTGGCACGGGCTGTCTGACTTGGGATCCGGGGCAGGTTCCCCCAGAGGCTGGGCGGGGACGCTGGGAGGCAGGGGCTCCGCGGACTGCAGGGCACATTCGGAATGGCTGGCAGCACACGGCTGGTTCTCCACGGCTGCCGGGCCTGTGGAGGGGCTGACAGTGAAAGGCTGCTTGGCGATTCTCTCGTGGCTGGGACAAGCGGCGTGTTTATAGTACTGCTTGCTGTACAGGTTTCTGAGTTTGTAGTAGTAATTTGGCTGCTTGAGCGGCAGTTCTGTGCAGCTGCCGTCTAAAGCGTCAGGGCCTAGTTTTGATGCTTCGCCTGCAGGGGGATGAAGGTGACTGGCCGGCGGCGCCTGAGAGTGCGGCTCGTCCGAGGCCTTACCGTGCTGCCCGTCTGCCGCACAGGCCGGCAGTGAGGGAGGAGAGCAGCTTTCGCCGAGAGCACAGCAGGTGTCCGGGGCCAGAGCGCCCTGCAGGGAGAGCGCACCGCTACAGGGCACGCCGGGGGGCTGCTCCGCAGGGGCTGCCTTTAGGAACGTGTGGCACAGACTGAGGACGTTCTGGACCTGCAGGCACTGCGCCGTGTCCAGCATCAGCTGCACGTTGTCCGGGTTCAGGTCCAGGTGAGACGTGTACATGAAGTCCAGGATCTGCCCGATGCCACTTACGTTCTTAATGTCCAAGTGAAAAACGTCGTTCTTCTGGCCGGGAGAGTTCTGGAAGAGGCTCCTGATAAAACAAAGATGCCCGTTTCAGTGTTAACAATTCATACACGCTCTTAACTTGTTCTTACAAATAACATGCATACCACTATTAGAAACTGCATTACTTCTATAAATGCCAGAATTTTATAAGTAAGTGAGCTTTAACCCTTTTTTAAAAATCTGGCAAGTCATCCAATAAAGCAATTCAGATAAGCGAATATGATGAATACCCAAACTTCCAAGTAGATATCCAAGGAAGATTTTGCAATATACTCATAGCTCTTTTAACAACTGTAATTATCCATATGCACCAATAGTATATAGAGTACATAAAACTAAAGGACACGAATTTTTCACTACTTCCTGTTTGTAGTCTGACAAATCATGTATTTAAAAAATTTTTTTTTTAAATTATTTTTTGAATACTTGTCTGAAGGTGACTGACAGAATGGCTAAGGCAAGCCATGCTGCTAATTTACCTCCACAGGTTTGTTTAGCACATCAGAAATACCTTTTCTTTTGTCATAAAGAGAAAACAAGACAATGAAATGTGCACACAAATCATGTATTTTATTTTAGGCATAAAACACACAAAAATATTTTCATATCCAAGGGCCTTAAAAAGTCTAAAAATAAAAATAGCTATAATAAACTAACCCTCAGTATACATTCATTTTATTAAATACATTTTTATTTATTTCAGAAAGGGAGGGGGAGGTAAACACATCATTAACCAGGTGCCTCTTGCATGCCCCCTACTGGGGATCGAGCCTGCAACCTGGACATGTGCCCTGACCAGGAATCCAATGGTGACCTCCTGGTTCATAGGTTGATGCTCAACCATCGAGCCACACCAGCAGGGCTACACTAACTTTTTTAATCTTAATTTTTAATTGTGAAAAAATTTCCTAATATTAAACATTTTATTATGGTTCAAATGGTAAATTCAGTGGCATAAAGTACATTCACGATGTTGTGCAACCATCACCTTTATGCTTTCATTATCCCAAACAGAAACTGTTCCCATTAAACGCCAATCCCACTCTTCCTCCCCACCCCTGGCGCCACCATTCTGCTTTCTCTCTCTGTATGTGAGTGCTCCAGGACCCTGAGCACTCATTTTGCACTCAGTCGTTCCTCTAGCAACCCAATGGTCCGCACATCAGCAGTGAGAAAAGCCCTCTGAGTTAGTGCGGGAAAAGGGGCACACTTCCATAAAGCCCACACACTTTATTCTGGGCGCCAGTCAGATTCCCCGGGGAAGGAATCTGTATGGTGTAAAATACCGAGCTAAGGTAGGTGAGTTGTCTTGCAACGTTGTGGGAGACATTTTATCAGATACAGTCACCCGCTTCCCCAAACAGCCCAGGGTGTGGGTTTGATCCCCTGCCAGGGTGCATACGGGAGGCAACCGATTCATGTTTTTCTCTCTCTCTTCCTCTTTCTAAAATCAATACAAACATACTCTCTGTACAGTGAGAAGAACAAAGACGGAAGTGGCACCTGAAGTACTGGCTGAAGGCTGCGAGGACATTCTTGTGTGCTTTGAAGCAGACGCCGTTCACCACCAGCATGCAGTCGCACAGCAGGCCTTGGATGCGCTGCTCGTGCAGCTGCTGCAGGAGGTGGCAGCTGTGCGTGGCCACCGGGTCCATGCTCGGGCATTCAGGAGACCTGCACACGGACGCACATAAGACATGAGTTTCGATGACAAGACTGGGAACTAAACGGCACCAAGTCCCCAGACTGATCTGTGGCTCACTGTCATGAGTGTCTGTCACCGCAGCTTAAAAAAACAAACATGCAAACAAAAAAGCAGTTTCTTAAGCACCGTAACCAGTGCTGTTCAGTGGAACTGCCTGTGAAGATAAAAATGTCCCTAAAACGCTTCTGCTCCTCTTACTACAGCCCTAACCTGCCGTACTTCCTCCCCTGCCAGCCCCCAAAGGTTACTGGCCCTTACCTCTCAGCACTGAGCTGTCTTCGCTGTCCCTTGACAATCGCATCTATCTGCGGCCTTCATCTGCTCTAAGCAGACAAGTCCTAAATTTGAAACTTTAACTCCAACCACCAGTTGCAAATGTCCAACTTTCTGCTGAACATCTGTAACTGTATGAGCCCACAACTAGGAAGCTCCAAAACTTACCCCCCATTATCTGCCCTCAGCTTGGCACCTGTTCTGATTCCCGTTTATGGAAAGCTCAGTTTCTGCAGGTGGATTCGGGGTCCTGGTTTGAGATCAGGGTGGCGTTCAGAGGACACCTCGAGAGGCGATGTCATCTATAAAGAGCCACACACAGCACTGGGAGTGGATATTTCCCAGCGGGGACACGGGAAGGGGGCCTCTGTCAGGCGGTGGGGCACTGTCCCTAGTGCTGAATCCTCCGGAGCAGTCAAATGACTGAGTCATCCGTCCTCCACCCTACCACACTGGCTGCCAGGAGAGAAAAGGCTTCCTGGCTTATATGATTAGTATCACTTATTGACTGCTTACTACAGGCCGGCACTGTGCTAAGCATATTATATACGTCAACTCAAACAATGCACTAAGAACCACTATGGCCATTTTGTAAGTCAGGAAATTAAGAAATGGGAGTTTAAGTAACATGCCCATGATCATAGAACTTATGTTCCAACGCCAACACTGGTTCCTAAACCCGGCAGTCCGTGCTCATGGGCGATGCTTTTGCCCATGAAGAAAAGGATGTCAGAAAACACAACACAAATCCCGCCTCCAGACTTCAAGGCTGAAACGCAGCAAACGTTCTGAATGAACACTGGACGTTTTCTACCTATACAGAGACAAGGGAACAATTCTTTGGAATGATCCTCAGAATTATGATGATCTGCAAAATCATGAACTATTCCATAGTTTACTTTGACAATAAAAAATATAATCAATCTGCCCTAGCCAGTTTGGCTCAGTGGATAGAGCGTCAGCCGGCAGACTGAAAAGTCCCAGTTTTGATTCTGGTCAAGGGCACATGCCTGGGTTGCAGGCTTGATCCTCAATGGGGAACTTGCAGGAAGCAGCCAATCAGTAATTCTCTCTCATCATTGATGTTTCTATCTCTCCCTACCTCTCTGAAATCAATAAAAATATTTTTAAATTTAATAGTTTCACTACGTTAATCCTGTAAGTGCCTTATAAAAAGCCTCTAAGAAAAAGAATTGGTAATTTATATTTCTTACTAGAGGCCTGGTGCATGAAATTTGTGCATGGGGGGTGGTTTGGGGTAGGGTCCTTCAGCCCGGCCTGCACACTCTCCAATCTGGGGAGATGTTTGACTGCCTCATGCAATCTGGGACCACTGGCTCCTAACTGCTCACCTGCCTGCCTGCCTGATAGCCCCTAACTGCTCTCCTGCTGGCCTGACTGCCCTTAACTGCCTCTGCCTCACCCCACACTGGGGACCCAGGACATGGGCCGGCCACAGCCACAGGGGACTGTGGGTGGGCAGCTTTGCCTGGGCCACAGCTGCTGGCACCTGGGACTGCAGGGCAGGCGGCTTGTCCCTCTCCTGGGCAGCAGCCTGACTGATCCCCATTCCTCTCTCGTGAGCTCATCTGTGCCTGGCCGGTCCCCATTCCTCTCTCCCCAGTGTTGAATATCTGAACCATTAGGGCATGAGGGCATGATGCCATTTGCATATTAGCTCTTTATTGTATAGGATGTGTCCAATGCGTAACAACTATAAGTAACAATGTATATACTTAATAAAACGGTAACAAATATGTATAAAATGTTTCCTGTATGCTGTCAGGCACTATCCTAAGTCTTTCTTTACAAGTCACCTCACTTAATGATCAGAGTCCGAGAGGCTGAACTGTCACCCTCACTCTGTAGATGGGGACAGCAAGGCACCTGCAGGTGGCAGATGGTCCCAAGTCTTCACTCCTGCAAGGGAAGCGGGGCTGTCTCCCCCGCTGGAATCTGAGCAGCCTCTGCCCCTAACCCCCAGCAGTGTGCTTGCGGATGGGGGGCGGCTTTAAAAGGGTGATTAAGTTAAAACCCTAACCCAGGCTGCCTGATGCCCTTAGAGAAGGAGGAAATGTGGACACAGAGCCGCCAGGGATGCTCCTGCCCAGGAAAGACCAGGGGAGGACAGCATAGGGGGTGGGGGGGGCACGAGCCAAGGAGAGCAGCGGCCTAGGAAGAAACCACTCGGCCTGCCGGCCGACCCCTGGGCCCTGGGCTCCTCACTCCCAGCGTCTGCGGTTTCGGCCGCCCAGTCGCTGGTGTTCTGTGAGGGGCAGCTCCAGCGGGGAATACGCCTTCTCTTCCAGGCCCGACACTTCGCCGCTGGCCAAACCCTCCGGGTCGCCCCTACACGAGCCCTCGGGACATCTCTGCTCACACCCCTTCGGCTTCCACACTCGGCGACCCCCACGGCACGCCAGCCGGTCCGCCGACCGCGACCGGCCCCGGAGAAGCGGCAGCCCCTCGGCGGAGCGCTCCGCGGCGCCTGCTCCGAGAACCAGGCCGAGCGGGGGCCGGCGGGGAGCGTGGGTCTCCCCGGCCCTCGCGGCGCCCGGGAAGCGGCGGTGGCGGCGGCTCCACGCCCGGCCCCGCCCGCCTCCTCGCGGGCCGCTCCCCCCGGCGGCCCCCGCACGCCCTCGCCGGCCGGCCCCGCGGCCTCCTTACCCTCGGCCGCCGCTCCCGGCCCCGCCGCCGCCGCCGCCGCCGCCTCACCCGCCGCGCCGCCCGCAGAGCCGCTCGCGGGCCGCCCGGGCTGCGGAAGCATCCCGACAACGCCCCCTCCGCCGCCCGGACCCGCCTTCCCGCTTCCGGCGTCGTCACTTCCGCCGGGGGGCGTGGCCGCGGCGCGCATGCGCGGGGCGGCTCAGAACCGAATCCTGCGCCGGGGAGCCGAGGCGGGGGCGGCGCTGGGCGGGCGGCGCTGGGCGGGCGGGCGGGCGGCCGGCGGTCCCACGTGCTCCGCGGCCGGTTGGAACCGTTGGCGGACGCCGGCTGAGAGGTGAGGGCGGCGGCTCCGAGGTGCGGCCCGGGAAGCCGGGCGCCGGGAGGGAGGGGGCGGCGTGCCGTGCCTGCGTTTCCCCCGCGGGGTGCCTACCGGCGCGGGAGGAGGCCACCCCTTCGGATCGGATTCGTGCTCCAGGGAGTGGAAGGAGTCCCGGGCTTAGAGGGACCGGCTCTTCCCGCTTTTAAAACCGGATCCCTCTCTGCGCTGGGCAGAGCGGACGCTGCCCGCGCTGGGCTGGGCTGGGCTGAGGCTGGCTGCCCGCTGGACTGTCCCTGCTCAGGGCGACAGGCTCCTGTCTGCTCGGGGTCGGGGGGCTCGGTCCCGAGAGGGGGGGCCTCAGGGCGGGTGGGTGAGAGCTGGGGCCTCGGGCCAGAACCACGGCGTGTGGATGCAGGTTCGCCCCCAACGGCGCGGAGACCTCGTTGTGGCTCAGGGTCCTCGGCTGTCAACGGGGAATAATGCAGAACTAGCTCGGAGCACTTGTGAGTTACAGGGGCGCACAGCGTTAAGCAGCTGTGGCGGGGCTTGGGACCTGTGGTGCCCGCTAAGTGTCAGCATGTTCTGCAGCTCCTCCGTGTGAGGAGACAGGGGAAGGAGGTGGAGTGTATTTCCTGCAGAGAGGGGCCCCTTGGGATTGTTCACACAGCTCTCCCCCAGTCCTTCCGTGCCTAGCAGAGAGCCTGGCAGGTAGGAGACGTCCACGGACAGTTACTGCACCAGGGCAGGGAGGCTGCTGAAAGCAGTATAGGGGATGTAGTGTGTGGGGCGGGCGCAAGGTTGGGCTGGCTCTTCCTGCCTCAGTTTACTCTCCTGGGAAGTAGAGTTGGGTGTACCTGCCTACTACCTGTGAGTTTTTTGCAAAGAGCAAGGGAGAGGTCTTGGGTGAATGCACCCCACATTCAGGGGCTTAGGTGGGACGGTGGACGGTACCCACTCGGTGGACAGCTGGTGCTCACCTGGCCTTCCCTTGCACCATCCCTGTGGTTTCTTGGAATTCTCCTTTTGAAAGGGGGTGGTTGGCCTGACCCCGTTTCACAGATGGGAGAACTTGGAAGGTCAGGGGAACAGTGATAGCAGAGGTCACAGTGCTGGCGGGGACTGCCGAGGTGGCCAGCCTGGCCTGTCCCAGGGCTCTTTTGGCGGTGGTGGCCGTGGTGGCGGTGGCGGTGGCGGTGGCGGTGGTGGTGGAGGTGGGGTTTAAGTCTGTGTGTATGTGTGTGAGAGAAAACACTATATAATAAAAGCCTAATATGCTAAGTGTCCAGTCCTCTAGTCAGCCCTTCAACCAATCAAAGTGTAATATGCTAATGATATGCTAAGGCCGCCCAACCGCCCGCTCTGATGTGCACTGATTGCTAGGGGGCAGGCACTCGGACCAGTAGGTTATCTTGCTGGAGAATGCCATCTTTTTACTCTTGGGGTAAACACTGCTGAGTTTGACATCGAGTTCAGCAGACGGTGACCCAATGTCTTCATGCAGCATGTTTCAGCTCCCCTAATTTCCGTTAGAAATTTACCTTTCTGTGTAATTATTTAAATATCTCTAACGTTATTTCTTGTGAAACGTTAATGAGTTTAATTTCTTGTTTTAGGCAATGCTTGCTATCTTCAGTTGGAGGGACTGACTTTTCACATGGTATATTTTTGTAAGTGTCACATTTGCACTTCCAAAATTGTTTTGCCTGCACCGAGCCTTGGCCTCCTTCCTGTCTGCTGTGCAGTTAGGACGGCTTTCTGTTCCTTGGAAACCTCCCCCCACACACACACACACAGACACACAAGTGCTTCCTGAATAATGACAGGTGTTCCCCCCGCCCCCCCAGAGTGGGGGGCCTGATCGAGGTGACCCTCAGCCGATGCTGGGTTGTTCCCACCTGCCCTTCCCAGGCCTTTAACTCTGCACCTTCCATGATGACTGACCAAGCCTCCCAATGGGGTCGCACACTTGCCGAAGCCCCGTCCCCCCCACCCCCTCCCCTGCGATCAGAAAACAGAGTAGACCCCCGCAGGGAAGGCCGGAAAGCCCTTGGCCATAGCTTCCCACTGAGAGAGTGTTTTCATTGTTGAGCTTCATTCTGAAAGAACTTACACATTTCCAGCAGATAGTGGCTATCACTGCTTCTGCCTGTGTATAACAGCCTTCTGTTTCCCGAGCCGAGCTGAGGGTTTGCCCTTGTCCTTGTACGGAGTGCCCCTCCAGACTGTTGATTTGGTGGGTGGTGCTGGCTCTTGTGCCAGCCCTTGTTCTCCCTGAGGAGCGGGCAGCACCCGTCTGAGCATCCCTCTGCGTGTGCACAGTGCCAAGCTTGGAGGGAGCTGCATCCCAGTCCACTTGATGCCAGCTCTCCAGGTGGGCAGCTGGGTCACACGTCCTCACTGTAACCAGGTGAGAAGATGGAGTGGTTGTTGCACATCCTAGAATGGACAGCTGTGTTGCTTTCCTCTGGATTCAGTGCCAGGCTGTAGCTGACCACATGCCCTCCCTGCTCACTGACCCGGATGGTGAGCTGAGGAGGGGACCGGACCAGGGTGTTTTCGCATGGCCAGCAGACATGCTGTTGTCCAGGAGAGCCAGAGGCCTCCATGAGCGGTCAGCTGGGCCTTTGTGAAGCCTGGAGCTGCAGCCAGGATGTACATTTCCATTCAAGGCTGAGTGGGCGTGAGCAGCCCTGATCTCTGCTCAGGAGTGACCGGCAGTGACCACAGGGCATGGAGGAGAGGGACCAGGCACGAGTATGCCCTGGGAACCAGGAAGTGCCTTTGTGCTGAAGGGTTTGGGAAGAAGTCTTGCCCCGAAGCACATTGCACCCATTTACTTGATCTTTGCCTTAATTTTCATAGCGAGCAAGGAAGTCCCCGGTTCAGTTCAGCAGTTCTCAATCGGGTTGCTGTGTAGCTTAGATACAAAACAGTCCTCTCAGATGGAAAGTTACTGGGACTCTTGTTTTTGGAGCACAGTGGCAGCTCCCTGGATTTTTAAATGGTTATGTATCTGTGCAGACGCAGGTCACGTGGACACAGTGCGGGGACACCAGGGTCTGACCACCCTCCAGTGACCCAGTGCCCAGCAGTTAGGACAGCTACAGGTTCCGTTCTCTATCGATCCCACAAGGAGCCACCGAAGGAGGCCCCTCATCCTGTCTGCTCAGCCTGAGGGCACCTCCTCCTGTGTTAACACTGAGGATGCAAAGCAATGCCGATGGGAATGTTTGTGTGTTCTATAAAAATTATCTGTAGGCCTCTTCTCAACTCTAAAGCTCCCTTCATTCCCCTTCTCCCCCCATTATGCTCTTCCTGATTTGGGGACCTGAGATAATTAGCAGTGCACACCTAAGAGTGAGAGAGGGAAGGAAGGACAGAGGAAGAGAGGAAGTTATTAGAAAATGTAAGATATTTTACTCAATGCCCCCAAAACTTCATCCTTAGAGATAGCCTGCCACGTTTAAATCCTGATTCTACTGCTGTGTGACCTTGGGCAAGTTACTTAACCTCTCTAATTATGGTTGAAAAGTTAGCTGTGAGATCATTTATTGGGAATAAAAGCTTCAGATTTTAATGATAATTATCTTTCCCCCCCTTTCCCTTTAATCTTTTTAGGACAAGATTTAAAGCCTATCTTGGATAGAGAATATTTAATCATTTAGCTAAAAATGGTATTTTTTACATGCAATGCGTGTGGTGAATCAGTGAAGAAAATACAAGTGGAAAAGCATGTGGCTGTTTGCAGGAACTGTGAATGCCTTTCCTGCATTGACTGTGGTAAAGATTTCTGGTAAGTTCCAAGTAACTCCTGTATCCATAGGAAGGTCCAGGCCAGTTTTGGAAGCACTGTTTGCTCAAAGCCTTAAAAAATTGCATGCCCTGTCTGGTTTGGCACAGTGAATAAAGTACTGCTGACTGAACGGTCCCAGGTTCCATTTCAATTAAGGGCACATGCCCGGGTTGCGGGCTTAATCCCCAGTAGGGGGCGTGCAGGAGGCAGCCGGACAATGATTCTCATCATTGATGTTTCTATCTCTCACTTTACCTTCCTCTCTGAAATCAAAACTATATTTTAAAAAAAAGAGGCATATTTGAGGAAAGAAATTATGAAAAAAATTAAAAGTGGGTTATAAGTTCATCTGCCTGGTCTGGATGATTTAAAAAGAAGACTGAGGAAGGGAATTGATATGTAACAAATTAGTTTCAGTTGTACATTATGATTCAATATTCCTGTTGTTGAAAAAATGGACGGAAAGTTTGGTGGTGGGTTTTCTATTGAACCCTTTGGAGCTAGGAAAATGTGTTTATGCAGCAGGATGTGAGCACAGTAAGTGCGGTAAAGGGGGCGGGGGCATGCGCAGTGGGCGGGCATGGACTGCCAGAGGCAGGAGCAGCGTGCTGACATGGCACGGCCTCCGCTGACAGTGCACCTAATGGTGGGACCTGTCACCTCACAGGGGCGAGGACTATAAAAACCATGTGAAATGCATAAGTGAAGACCAGAAGTACGGCGGCAAAGGTTACGAAGGGAAAGCCCACAAAGGCGCTATCAAGCAGCAGGCGTGGGTGCAGGTACGTTGTGAATCAGCTGACACTTCCACTTTTCTTTGGAAGCCTAGGAAACCAAGAATAAATGCCTCTCCATGCAGACTAAACCCAGAAACAGCGCGCCTTAGCTAGGCGAAGGGTCGTGTTGACATCTTAAGAAGGCTTCCGGCCCATGAACAGTTCCATTTATCTGTGCCTTCTTTCTTTTAGCAGTGTTCTTTACTTTTAGCTCAGTATTACACACATTCCTCCGTTAAGTTCTTAGTTTCCTTTTCAGATTGTCCATTTGTAGAAACGCAACTTGATTTTTAAGTGCAGTTCTCCTGAATTTGTTTATTGGTTCTAACGGTTCTTTTTGAAGAATCTGTAGAGTGTTCCACATACAAGGCCACGTTGGCTGAGAACAAAGATAATTTCACTCCTTTCCAATTAGGATGCCTTTATTTCTTCTTCTCACCTACTGGCCAAGGCTTCCAATACTATGTTGAATTTATAAAAATAGACATTAATACAAAATCAGGATTTGACCTGTGGATTCTGTAGCCCTGTGTCAGTTGTTTATTATTTTTGTCTTGTCTTTCTTTTTTGTAGAAAGTTAATGAATTAATAAAAAGACCCAATGTCAGCCCCAAAGTGAGAGAACTTTTAGAGCAAATTAGTGGTTTTGACAACATTCCCAGGAAAAAGGCAAAATTCCAGGTATGTGTTTGATATGGCTCCCCCGACTGTGGACATGGGCCCATCAGGGACAGCTGTATTTACTGTTCAATGGGACTTCTCTCCCTGTTTTTCCTTATAGAATTGGATGAAGAACAGTTTAAAAGTTCATAATGAATCGGTTCTGGAGCAGGTGTGGAATATATTTTCTGAAGCTTCCAGTAATGTAAGTCAGATCTCATTTCAGATTTGTAGTGTGGCAGGCATGCTTAGTGATAATGCAGCGGGAACTCTTATTTTCGGAGGTCAAGACAGCCTTCTCTTTCAGAGAGCCTCTTGGGCCTGCATTTGTGGGAAGGAATAACTGAATGCCTTACAGAGAAGAGTTCTTACTTTGCACAGAAAGGTATTTAATCCCCATGTTTGACAGTGGTAGCAGCTCACCTGGAACGATTTGCTTAGAAAGCAGGCGGTGGACATATCAGAAAGAACAGGAGCTCTGGGTGTCTGACAGACCTGGATTGAGTCCCTGCTGCTCTCTGCCATGTGTTTGATCTTGGACACATTACTTACCTTGTGAGCCTCAGTTTCCTTTTCTTTAAAAAGTGGATCTCATTCATTCATTCATTCATTCAGTACTTCTGAATGCCTGATCCGTGCCAGGCCATGAACAAAACTGTGAGCTAGCTCAGGTGGTGACAGTGCTGTGAAGGAAGAGAAGCAGGTGAGGACAGAGTGCCTAGGTGGTCTTCTAGGTAAGGGGAGAGGGGTCACTAAGGCCCTTACCTGCTGTGGTTTTAAAGTAGATGAGACTACAAAAGCACCCACCTTATGCCCACCTTTTAGTGGGCACTCGGTAAGCACCGTGTCTTCCAGTGGAGGGAGAATTCTGTGGGTTTAAGTCAGTCAACTGTCTATCAAAAGTTGGAAATGCGAGTCCTCAGATGTGGATACAGGTGCAGAGGGTCTGGGTTTGATAGTGTGTAGCCACAGTGTTTTATCACCTTAATTCAGTTGCACTTTCTTCCTTTTGGGAGCTTACATCCCATTTGAGGAGTTGTATCTTTAATAGTTTTTTAAATATGGACGCTTCACGAATTTGTGTGTCCTTCTTGCACAGGCCATGCCGCTCTCTGTACCGTTCCAAGCTTAGTGTGCTTGCTGTCGGAGTGAGCACATCATTAGTAGTTTAAGAAATGACAACAATGGGTCTGGCTGGTCTTTTACTTTGGTAACATTGCAGAGAGTTGATTTGCTTTATATAGAGAGAGTAGTTTAGGCAGCAAATTGAGATAAAAATGAAAGTTTATCTTGGCAGTATATTTAGCATTTGTCTCAAAATACACACATTGGGCCTTTGAAACCTTATAACCAATCATTGAATTGGCCTTCATGTGGTTATTTTTTAAAGGTTATTGCCATTATTTTTACTAAAAATCAAAGATTGGAAATGACTTAGCTCAATTGTAGGTTTTGTGTTTTTTTTTTTTTTTAAAGTTCTTTTGAAGCTGTGAACATATTAGGAATTAATAATCAGTAAACAGCTTGTGGTAACCTCAGCTTATTATTGGTTTACCTGTGTTCCATGAACTTCACAGCACATCCCAGTGTTTGGTACAAAGCATGGGGTTCTAAGGCCCTCTTTGTTCATGCCTGCAATTTTATCCCTCCCTTTACTCTGTGCTGGGCATTAGGTTGGTGGCTTTCTCTTCTACATGATACTTTTTATACCCAGCACAACTCACACCAGGTCACTGGATGCAGCTGTAATCAGTGCTGCCCTCATACAGCTGTATTCTCGTGGGGGTGACAGACAACTATGTGTGTGGGTTTTGCTATAATATCAGGTTGTGATAAGTATTAGGAAGAAATAGAAGGCAGGAGGAGGGGCAGATTGCAAAGCAGCGTGCTGTTAGGTAAGAGCCAGTGAGGGCGGTGCTGAGGAGACCACATTGGAGGAGAGCCTGGAATGAAGTAGAAAGAAGATGGAATGGATTGACCCGGCACTGGTGCGTGGGTGTGTGCCTCCTGCCGCCCGCTCCTTCCCCTCTGTGGGTTGGGGTGTGGAGGCAACACACCAGCTAGAGACTTGGTCTGGATTGGGCAGATGGCAGCTGAGTTTGGGGCCCTTGGTGATGATGATAATACCCGGTATGTAGTATGAATACAATTACAGGGCAGGAGGGAAGCTTCTTTGCCCCTTCCTCCCGAGTGTATCTGCTGTTTGCCCCCCACTCCGTGTGCCTGGACTACTTATTTCTCTGAACTGCTACCGAGAAACCCCCAATTTAGTTAGCACTCTTCTGCCAGAGGGTGAGCGTGGGTGTCAGAGGGAGGCATGACTTGGTATTGTACTTGAGTTAAAGCCAGTCCTTTATTTGGTGTGTCTTGGGGGACAGTAGCTCCCTTCTTGTGACCTAGTCTCCGGAGGGGGAAGACTGGAGGTGATGGTTGAGTAAACTGGCTGGTAACTCACAGATGGAACTTGGGCCCGGTCTGCAGACTCATAAGTCTCAGGATTTCCCGGAGCTGCTGCCACTGGCCCTTTAGCTGCCTGACAGGCACCTTCCTGCCGCGGCAGTTGAGGTAGCTCTGTGCCAGCTCATGGGCAGGGATGGCGTAGAGATTTCAAGTCACGGTGTACAACAGACAGTGGGACTAGCTGTGCTGAAGTTAATTTAAAAGTAGGATCCAGCCTTAGACAGTTTGGCTCAGTGGCTAGAGCGTCAGCCTGCATACTGAAGGGTCCCTGGTTTATTCCTGGTCAGGGCACATGCCCAGGTTGTAGGTTTGATCCCCAGTGTGGGGCATGCAGAAGGCAGCTCATCAATGATTCTCTCTCATCATTAGTGTTTCTCTCTCTCTCCCTCTCCCTTCCTCTCTGCAATCAATAAAAACATTTTAAAAAATTAAAATATGATCTCTGTGCTGGTTTGAATAAGAGATGCAGTGAGTGTAAGGTTCTCCCCATCCCAGCGCATGTAGTCAGCTTTCCGTGATTCCTTAGCCGCCATTCTTGACTGCCCAAGGGTTCCTGACTGTCTCTCAGAAGCCACCTAGTCTGAATGATGGTTTGATTAGGCCTCTGGTGCTTGCTCATTTACAAAGCCCTTTTGGTGCATTGGGCTGATGCACTGAGCAGGTGACATTTCCTGTTTTATCTGTACATGAATAGTATGAGGAAGGGTTTCTGCCTCCCATCTACAGACGTGGAGAGGGGTCTAGAGCAGGTAAATAACTTGCCCCGAGTCACCTGGTAATGGGCAGAGCTGGAACTCGAACCCACGCCTGCAGGTACATAAACCTAGTTTCTGCCCCACCTGAGAGCTCACCTTCATTGGAAAGCAAGGTGAATTGTGAGCCAAAATTAAAGGTCTGGCGGAAGTGATTTAAGGATTCTTTCCTTTTCCAGTGGGACGAAATGCTTGTTAAATGCGGAGAGGTGGCCCTAGCTGGTTTGGCTCAGTGGATAGAGCATTGGCTGCATACCGAAGGCACCTGGGTTTGATTCCGGCCAAGGTCACGTGCCCGGAGTGCAGACTCGGCCTCTAGTAGGGGGTGCTCAGAGGGCAGCTGATTAACGATTCTCTCTCATCATTGATGTTTCTGTCTCTCATTCTCCCTTCCTCTCTCAAATCAATAAAAATATTTTTAAAAAATATAAATAACTAAAATGTTGAAAAAAAAAGTGCAGAGAGGGGTGTGGGCTAGGGGAGTTCTCATTTTGTGTATTTACTGCTACATTTTAACAAGGGGAGGCATCACAGTTCTAAAATGGGAAGTAATAAAGACATTTTTCTTGGAACAGTGTGTTCAATAGATACTTGCAGGTCATGAACAGGTGTGTGTGGAAGGAATACTTACGTGTTTTTTGGTTTTGCTTCATAAAAAGGAACCAGCCAGTAAAGGGCAAGATCACCAGCCACTCAACCCAGTGGCAAAGCCACCTGCGGAAATCACCACCACGGTGGCCCCTTCCAAAGCCAGTGACACCGCGTCAGGACAAGCAGAGGCAAAGAAGAGTAAGCGGGAAAGGAAGGAAGAGCGGCAGAAGAAAAGGAAAAAAGAAAAGAAGGAACTGAAACTAGAAAACCACCAAGAGAAGTCCAAGAGTCAGAAGTCTAAAAAGCGCAAACTGAGACTGGAGGCCGAGCAGGAGGCGGGAGGGGAGGGTGCCCCCGAGGCCAAGGGGAACAAGAGCGAGTGTGGAGTGAACGGAGACGTGGACAAGGCGGGAAAGAGGAAGCGGAAGCTTTCAGAAGGTGTGTGTCCTAGGCTACAGGGTTTGTTAAAATGGCCATGCTCTAAATTTGGGGTATATAAAATCTGTTAGGTCTTGCATTTTGAACTAAGTAATACAAAGAGCAAGCTGTGGGGTCAGGGCAACCTGGGCGGAGTCTGGCACGTGACCTCACCTCACGTGACCTCACCTCTCAACTCCCGGCTTCCCCCACTGTGGGAGGAGAAACCCCACGGGCTGGGTTGCTTGGGGGATGAGAAGATGATGGAAGGAAGGAGCTGGCCATGGACGATGCATTAAGTGTAGATGTCAGAAATGCAGAATCTCTCTCTATTTTTTTTAAATCTCTATTCAGTTGAAGCTTATTCCAAGAAGAAGAAGTTGAAGTGCCCAGCACTGGCTGAGGGCGGAGAACCAGAAAACCATGAAGCTCCTGCAAAAGGTAGCGCTCCTGTCATTTGGAAAGCTCTATCCTCTGGGTTGGGAGGAGGAGGTGAGCCAAGGTCTCTAGGGCGTGAGTGACTCCGAAGTAACCAGCGAGGCTGAGAGTCACGCCTACAGCGTCTCTGTCTAGCTTTAAGGACAAAGGGGAAAGCAGCCTGGATTGGAAATATGCATTGTCTTAAATTTTAAACCCGCATGCTTTCCCAGACCCGGTCCCCTTCCTGTCTTTCAGCCAGACCTGGCTGTTCCCCTCTTATCTCTGGGTCTGTCCCTGGTGCCACCTTGCTGGCATGTGTCCTTGTCAGAATCCAGTCCCTGGCCTGTGAGGCGCCTCTCCAGGCTGCCTCCTCCACACAGGCTGCTCCCATTCCTCAGGCCTGAAGCAGCCCCGGGGTCCTGCCAGTTACGTGATCCAAGGACTCATGGGAACGGAGGCTTTATTGATGGAGGTTCAGTGACTGCCCAAGTTGGGTTAGATCTCTTAGCTTGGACCCCACCACCCAACCTTAATTTTTTAAAGTGTAGTGATGTTTGTGGCTGTCCCCTCTCGTTCAAGGTTAAGCTTCTTTTGTTCACCTTTGTCTTGCTCACTGTGCTTAGCCCCATGATCTCCGTGGATGCTTAATGAATCTTGCCTGGTTAACCTGCTCTCTCAGAACAAGAACGGTGGGCTGTTTGCAGGGTAGCGGTGCTTTTAGGCCACTGTGATTGGACAGGCCAAGTGCCTGCTCCACCGTGTTCGGGTACCTGCCCATTCAGGATTCATTGCTTTCCCGGGCAGCACATAGATGGTACAGAAATCATCTCCTTTCCCTTCTGGTAGTACGACAAAACACCGTGTTTTGCATGTTATTCTTTGTATTGCAGGGAAATTCAATTGGAAGGGGACTATTAAAGCAGTCCTAAAGCAGGCCCCAGACAATGAAATAGCAGTCAAAAAGCTAAGGAAAAAGGTATGCACACGAACCTAGTACACCACGGTGGGAGAATCGGTTCCTTATTTTAAAACCCCTAAAATACTGTATATGTGTGTGTGTCTCACTTACAAGGCCCTGGTAACCCCTCTGGTCTCGTGGGGAAAGAATGGGACTGACTCCCATCACTCAGCCAGAGCAGTGCATGGGTGGTTCTCAAATCATTATTCTAGATGGTTTGCGATTATTCCAGAGCCGTGCTTTCTTCTTTGGTTCTTAGTTTTTGACATCTGACCCACACGCAGCCAGGCGCTCACATGTGCGCTGCACGGATCTCACAGGCACAGCCCTGTGTAGCCAGCCCCTGGCTTCTGTTATTTCTTACTGTCGCCCTACTTCTGGGTTAAAGAACGTTTTAGGTAAATTTTCAAGGCAGTGACCCTTATTTGACAGTCGTCCTCCTTTGTGCAGGTTTTAGCTCAGTATTACGCGGTGACAGCTGAACACCACAGGTCTGAAGAGGAGCTCCTGGCCATCTTCAACAAGAAAGTCAGCAAGAACCCCGCCTTCAAGTTACTCAAGGACAAGGTCAAGCTTTTGAAGTGAACGTTTTTATATTTAATAAATTGAGTCCATTCTGTTGATTTCTTCCTTTCACTGCTGTTTGTAAAACATGTAATAAATAATAACAACTCAATTTTGCTTTCTTATAAGAGAATATATATTTTTGGTAGATCTTTCATGAGAAAATAAACTATATTGTCCTCAACCCTCCGTAGCCTCGGTGCCTGCTGTTCTTGTTACCCTCTGTCGTTGAGACCATTCTCCACACAAGGATAGAGGAGACAGCCCCAGAGTGCCCGGGGAGGGTCTGCACTGTCTTTAGGGAGGGGCCAGACCCTTCAGGCAAGCGCAGTGAAGCAGCATGGGGGGCGTGTATGATTGTAGTGTGCGCCCAGAAATGGAGTGAGGCCTCCTGCCTGGGGCAAGGGGTGGGGACAGAGGATGTTAGAGTAAGGCCCCTGGATTGATTCTTGAAAGATCTTCCTTACCGACTTGCTATATTGGGGCGTCTTTCTCTTCCTCCTGCCATCTCACCCACCCACTTGCACCCGCAGACTCTCCCCCAACCGCTCCCCATAGGGGAGGCAGTGGGCAGTAAGAAGCACAGAGCAGTCCACAGAACTACGGTGAGACGTGGCCATGAGTCTGGCTTTGGTTCTTAGCCAGCAGCCTCTCGGGCAGGCGGCGTATCCTCATGAGCTGCAGGGTTTCTGTCTGTCAGGCTGCCTGAGGTGATGGTGAAATTGAAGTGACGTGCACAGGCATCTGAAGGTAGGAGGTGTTGAAATGTTCCCTCCTCTCGTGCATGAAGGGCGCACCGACCGCGGTTTACAAGGACTGTGGCGCTGGCTGCAGGGAGGCCCGTCCCCCCGACACCTCGCTTTTCCGGCATGTGGCTCTCCAAGTGCCTGGGCTGCAGCGAGAAGCCACAGTGACCGGGCAAAGTGGCAGCATGCTTAATGCAGAAACCCACTTCCGTCCTGAGGGGGTCCTCCAGTTCCCAGTTAACGTGTAACCATTTCTCAAGACACTGGTCCAATCATACGGTCCACTTCTCAATGTAAACTTTCTACTGAAGCATACATACAGAAATGTGTAAAAACGTAAATGGACAACTCTGTGCACACACCTGTGCCACATCTAAGACATGGGCTATTTGTATTCTCACCATGTCAGCGTGAGCTATCTGTGAATGGTGGCATAGGGCAGTGGTCAGCAAACTCATCAGTCAGCAGAGCCAAATATCAACAGCACAACGATTGGAATTTCTTTTGAGAGCCAAATTTTTTAAACTTAAACTTCTAATGCCACTTCTTCAACATAGACTCGCCCAGGCCATGGTATTTTGTGGAAGAGCCACACTCAAGGGGCCAAAGAGCCGCATGTGGCTTGCAAGCCGCAGTTTGCCAACCAGTGCCATAGGGCACTGGGCCCTTGGTGTCCTGCTTCTCTCAGCATTCCTGGGGTCCATCCACGTTGCTTTGATGCTGTCTCTGTACTGTACAGTCCCACCCCTCTATTGCTAATGAGATGCTGGCTGTTTGCAGAGTGGCTGGGTTTCTGAGGAAATGGGCATCTGTCTCCTGTCCATGTATGCTCTCCTTTCTGCCCAGTGCATGCCTGGGCGTGGCACTGCTCAGTCACCAGGTGTGTCTCAGCTTTGACAGACACAGCCACACATTCCCCAGTGCTTTTACCTGTTCCCACTGCTGCCCTGTGTATGAGGGTAGATGGGGTTTATGTGGCCCCAAATGTACTGAAAGTTAATATTCCTCAAGTTTCCATCTCTGTATCTCTCTAGGTAGTTCTGTTTTTTTAAAACTGTCAAGTAAGCTTAATCGGGGGCTTTGCACTAGACTAAATTATACAACTGGAAAATGGTTACCTCCAGATTTTCTCAGCAGATTTCTGTCTCAAGTGATGCTAAAAATAAGTCAGAATAGCAATTCCCCGGCGTCTTAGTTACTCTACCGTGTCCTTAACAGTGAGAGGAGCGCAGGGCTTGCTCAGCCCCCTTATCATTAGATTTGTGAACTATAATTTAGGCTTGGAGCATCCTGTGTTGGTTACAAAGCCGCAAAGGCTCCTGGGAAAGCGGATGTGCTGGTGAATGAGCAGCTTTGTTTGAGTGCGAGCCTCCCGGAGCTACTTCTTGCTATGGGATCCAGGCGAGCTTTAATTTATTCCCTTTGATAGAAGCAATCAAGCTGTCCCTGCGGGAGTGCAAGCTGTAATTGCTGAGTAAATACATATGTCAGAGTTGAGAGGTCAGACACAGCTTGGAAGACGAGGCCTTTGTTTGGCCACAGAGTGGGTACTGTGAGCTGCTGACATCCTACTTTTGCCGCTCTGCCCACCTGGTGACCTCAGACCGTCTCCCCGGAGGCCGGCGGTAGTGTGTATAATAGATTGGGTGTCTCCATTGGAGATCAAAGGCAGGAAGAGCCTCAGTTCTCCGGGTGCTTCCCCACAGCACGGCTCTTGGCATCTGCCGACAAATTTGCATCAGGCACTAATGGAAACCTGACAGGACGGCCCTGCTCCAGCCAAGGGGATCCGAGCGGAGACATCTCATAGCTAACGGAAACGGCACTCTCTCCTCCTGGTGTCAGGGAAGTTAAGGTAATAGTTGTCTCCGCATTAAGGGGTTTCTGCATAAAAGTTAACCCTCTTGGCACTTGTTACTATGCAATTCTGATTTAGAGGCTATGGGAGTTGGCATCGACTTTTATAGCACGTGGGTGTTTTTTCACTTAATTGATCTGTATTCTAGGATGGTCCACAGAAGTGCCCGATGCTCTACCATTTGAACGTGTTTGAGAACCATAGTTATTTGACTAAAGGGAGTTTTAAAAACTGGCTTCTTGAATGAAGGCCAGTGTCCCAGTGAGAGATACTAACATCTATGAGCATGTTCCTTATGCTGGTGCTTTTCAAAGAGCTTTGCACGTATGAACCCATTTCTGCAGGTGCTTGAAGTCCAGAGGGGCACAAGGAGATAGGAGGGCTGCTGCATCAGTCTGGCCTCAGGGTTGCAAGTGCAGGAAAGAAATAACTCTAATTAGCGTTAATTTGAGGGGGAAAAAAATCTTTTTTTTTTTTTGGCTGAAATATCTGTGTTGTCTTAACAATGAATAACAACAATGGTTGAGACAGAGCTTCCCACGGGCCAGGCACTGCTCTAAGTACTTTGCATGTGTTAATACTGTTGACTTTCCAATCGTAGGAGGTAGGTACTATCCTCAGTCCCATTTTGCAAATGAGGAAACTAAGGCAAAAAAGAGAGTAAGTGGCTTTCCCAAGGCTGAAAGGGCCAATGATACAGACCAGCAATGACGGCCAGCCAGGCAGCTGGCTTCAGAGCTCAGTCCTTACCTAGGGGACCTCGGCTTTCACTAGGTGGCTGGATTCAGGAGTTGAGACGACACTACCAAGACCTCTTGGCTTGGCTTGCTCCATGTGTCTCCATGGTGACAGACCCAGGCCCACACTGACCTCACAGCTCATCATAGCAACAGAGGTCATCCTAACCCCCACTGTCAGATCTGGCTCAGGTCTTGTGCCCTCCCAGCCTCCTGAGAATGCTGTAGGACTCCTGCAGGAAGGAGGGAAAGCGGTTTCTCAGAGGAAGGATGCTGAGCAGACATAAGTATGGCCACGTGGAAAGCCAGTCAATGGTGATCAAGGGCCTAAGTGAAAACCAGGAAACGGGTGGCTCCTACTACATGCAAGGCCCTGGGAAGACACTAAGACATGGTTGTTGCCCCATCATCTCGGGAGAGAAGAGGCAAAAGGGAACTTGCAACAAAGAGTCACTGGAGCCTGAGGAGAAGGAATAGCTGAGAGGTGAGCAGGAGCCTGAGAGCAAGGCCTGGCAAGCCCAGTTCAGCAGAGATGAACAGCAGCTACCACCGCTTGGAGGCATACTGCATGCCAGGCACTACGCTAAGCAATCGCTATATATGTTGCTAAGGGGAGGCCAGCAAAGGTCATGGTCAAATTCATTTCCCCCCACACGTAATGCATATGGAAAATGAAAATGTCTTGGTTGGTAGCACGCTGATATCATATACCTGTCATTAAGGTGCACAGCGCACACATTTAAGAACTCATTCAAGGGACCCGACAATGAAGACGTGCTCATGAGATACTGGATCTTTTCCAGACTGCTTTTAAGTATCACCAATATGGCGTGTAAGTAATGCCATTTAAAATATCGGGGGACAAAGCTGGAAGGATTTCAGATTCAAATACAAAGGCCCTGGAACCACCAAAGGGGAAATCAGATCTGACTTGAACACACTACATATGGAGACCCGGGGGCTGTTGCCATGCTCTGGGAATATTCAGTTACCAGGGAGACCCAGCACTGACCTTTCCGCAGGGAGACAATGCACAGAAGACTGTTTGACAAGAGGAATTCGCTTCCTGTTAACAAGGCACTGCCCCTGCACAAAGGGGGGCAAAGACCCCGTTGGCTTTGAAGAGACGAACCCTGGTTCTTTAGGAGTCTGGAAAGAAAAAACAAAACAAAAAAGAGGTATTGTGTAGAAAGGCCATATGAGCCACCCAGCTGTTAAATCCTTTGCTCCAATGGGTTTGCTAGAGAGGCTGAAGAAATGATAGAAATAACCCCGTAGGAACCTGACATTCTTAATACATTTCTCTTGCAAATACCCACGGCATATAGAGAAGGTATGGAAGAGTGCCAATTGATTTAAATTTTACTTCCTGGGTGACTTTCTGGGCTATCCACCCCTGTATCTGACACACCTCAAGCCACTTAAAAAAAAACCACACCTTATTTTAGCACACTCTATTTAATGTTCTTAAATAACGTAACTTTAAATATAATTAGTGTAGAAATGAAATATGATTACAGTTTTGAATTAAAGATAATAAGCCCAGATGTCTGTAGTCTTATTGTGGGATGTTTTTAGTTTGTGTTGTTTTTCTTGCATCTTTTTTAAAAAAATTATCTTTATTGTAGGAAGTATTACAGATGTCCCTCTCCTCTCCTCCCCCAGTAACCCCAGGCCTACAGCACTCTTTGTCTATGTCCTTGGGTTATGCAAATATACATATAAATGCTTTGGTTAATTTCCATGTTCCCACACCTCCCAGGAGAATATTCTGTCCTCCCATGGCCCTACCTAGTGCTCCTGTTATGTAAAGTTGTCTCCTTTCCATTGTCACTTATGTCTGCCCTCAGCATTTCAGCAGCTGCAGCTGCTCAGAAATGGCTGCTGACTCCCTAAACTGCTTCCATCCATTTAATGACACTGCGGGCCACTGTAGCACAGCTGGGTCACCTTGGCCTAGGAGCTTGTCAAATGCAACATTATGTCTTATTCATCTCCCTGCCCCCACCCCACTCCTTGCCTAGCATTGTGCCTAACATTCCTAGCTCAGTGAATGTCTGAATGGTGAAGCGCATTCAACACATGGCAGGGTAGGAAGGGGGAGAAGAGTAATGGGATTCTTAACATAGAAAAACGTGTGAATTAATGACAGTCTTTTCCAGCTTATGAGCATGAACAATGAGAGATGGCAGTGTCCTGGGAAAGTATAAATTCAGTTCCCGCATTCCCAGCTGGTGAAGTTTCTCAGAAGTTGGACAAAAGGGATTAATAACAACAACATACAGGTGCTTTGCATGTAACATACAGGCAGGTATAACCCCTGGTGCGGAAGAGGAAAGAAGTGCAGAGAGTTTTATTTCTTGTCCAAGTGCACCCAAATGGTCGGCCCAGTGGCCTTCCTCCTCCCAGGATGCTGTGGACCTTTCAGTCTCCCTGGGCGCCACTCGAAGAGAAGAGAGAAAGGAGCTGGGGCGCACGAGGGCACTCCTTCCGCACAGGCACTTCTCACGGGGCACTCCGCCTCTCTGCGCACTTCTCCTCACAGGGCACTTTTCCTCACGGGGCACTTCTCCCCATGGGGCACTTCTCCTCACGGGGCACTCCTCCTCTCTGAGCACTTCTCACAGGGCACTTCTCCTCACGGGGCACTCCTCCTCTCTGCGCACTTCTCACAGGGCACTTCTCCTCACGGGGCACTCCTCCTCTCTGCGCACTTCTCACAGGGCACTTCTCACTGCGCACTTCTCCTCACGGGGCACTCCTCCTCTCTGAGCACTTCTCACAGGGCACTTCTCCTCACGGGGCACTCCTCCTCTCTGCGCACTTCTCATCACAGGGCACTTCTCCTCACGGGGCACTTCTCCCTATGGGGCACTTCCCCTCACGGGGCACTTCTCCTCACTGCGCACTTCTTCTCATGGGGTACTTCTCCCCACGGACACTTCTCCAACACAGGGCACTTCTCCTCACGGGACACTTCTCCTTTTGGGGCACTTCTCCCCACGGGACACTTCTCCTCACGGGGCACTTCTCATGGGACACTTCTCCTTTTGGGGCACTTCTCCCCACGGGACACTTCTCCAGCACAGGACACTTCTCCTCACGGGACACTTCTCCTTTCGGGGCACTTCTCCCCACCGGCACTTCTCCTCACAGGCACTTCTCACCGGGCACTTCTCCTCACTGTGCACTTCTCCCCAAGGCACTTCTCCTCACTGTGCACTTCTCCCCAAGGCACTTCTCCTCACTAAGCACTTCTCCCCACAGGACACTTCTCCAGCACAGGGCACTTCTCCCACACGGGACACTTCTCTTGTGGCACTTCTCCCCACCGGGCACTCCTCCTCACGGGGCACTTCTCACTGTGCACTTCTCACAGGACACTTCTCCTCTTGTGGCACTTCTCCTCACAGGCACTTCTCCTCACGAGACACTTCTCTTGTGGCACTTCTCCTCACGGGGCACTCCTCCTCACGGGGCACTCCTCACGAGGCTCTTCTCCTCACGGGGCACCTGGGAGCCAAGGTGGGCTCCGCACGCAGAGGGCACGGAGGAGGGTGACTGGGCGGCACCCTAAGCTCGCTCCATCCTCCGGGAGAAAAGGGCTACTTCCGGTCCTGAGAGGCCCCACATTTGACATTGAAATCCTGTGGCGGGTTTGAGCACGAAGAATGCGAAACCCAAACACGTCCCGCCCTAGTTTCTTACCCCTTAAACCTCAGAGGCGAAACCGGACCCACCGCTCCTAGAAAGAGTCCCCTCTGCCGCCCGGAAGCTGGGACCGGAAGTGCCAGTGGGTGACGTCACTTCCGCCGCGCTTCCGGGAGGCGCCGAGATGGACGCCTCGCGGGCCCGGGAGCAGCTCCGGCGGCGGTACCTGTTCTCGCCCGACGCCGAGGCCCCGCCGGACGGCAGAGGCTGCGCCGGGCCGGGTAGGGTCCCCGGGCGCTCCGGGCCGCGCCGAGGTTCCGGGCCCGGCGCCGGGACACTGCCGGCCTCCCGCCCCCCCCCGTCCCCGCCCCGGCGGGAGGCCCGCTTCTCTCCTCGGGGTTCGCTTGTGCTTTGCCGAAAGGACCCTGAAGGCCACGTCGCCTGCGCTTCTGCCTCCGGCTGTTCTGACCCGGCTTGGCGATGGGCGATGGCCACTCAGAACGCCCACCGGCCTGTTTAAGGACCAGCCAGAGGGACGGCACCGGCACCGGCACCGAGGGGGGTGCCAGGGACCTGTTTCCTCCCCGCATCGCTTGTCGTGGCCTCTGATCGTCCGCCGCGGAGAGCTGGCTGGACCCACAGGCCGACCGCGGGCCGGGGTGCGGGGTCCACAGGGAGGCGCCAGGCAGGCTGTGATGTGCCGCCCGGGGGTACGACCGAGCGGGAGGCCCACCGGGTGGAGGGGAGGAGAGCAGCAGCAGGTGATGCTGATGGTTGCTTCGGGGCAGGGGGCAGGGGACCCGGGAGAGATGGATTTCACGTCGGGTCTTGTTGGCCGGCATTATGTAAACCGTTAGCATTTGTTGCGTTTTGAAAATAAACACAGAGCACCAAAACCGGTTTGGCTCAGTGGATAGAGCTTCGGCCTGTGGACTGAAAGGTCCCAGGTTCGATTCTGGTCAAGGACATGTACCTTGGTTGGGGGCACATCCCCAGAGGGGGGTGTGCAGGAGGCAGCTGATCGATGATTCTCTCATCGATGTTTCTAACTCTCTATCCCTCTCTTCCTCTCTGTAAAAAATCAATGAAATATTTTTATTTTTATTTTAAAAAAATATATTTTATTGATTTTGTACAGAGAGGAAGGGAGAAAGATAGAGAGTTAGAAACATCAGTGAGAGAGAGTCATCGATCAGCTGCCTCTTGCACACCCCCCACTGGGGATATGCCCGCAACCAAGGTACATGCCCTTGACCGGAATTGAACCCGGGACCTTTCAGTCCCCAAGCCGACGCTCTATTCATTGAGCCAAACTGGTTTCGGCCAATGAAATATTTTCAAAAAGAGAACTACACAACACTCAATTTATATAAATAAATAAATAAATAAATAAATAATAAATAAAATAAACAAACACAAGACAATCGTGCCCAGGCGCGCTGGTTTCTCCGTTATGAGGAATTCTAAAGGGTGAGGATCTCAGTGTGTACCAGCGGTTGGTTCTCCCCTGAATGGAGAGGGCGCCCATCGCCTGGGGGAACTTGGTGGAAATAACTCATTTGATCCAATCCCCCCCTCCATCTCCCCTCCCCACCTGTTCTGTCAGGTGGAGTCCCAGGTGGAAGAAATCTGGGCTCGTCACCACCCGTCTAGACAGCACTGTGCCCGTTCCACTTTTGAGCTGCCTGAAGAGGTTGTGTTTGCTTAAAATAATTAGTTACAAGTAGTATTTTTGGAAAATTGCCTCTGTTTTGTGCTCTAACATTTGCCTGTAGCATTTTCCTTAATAGGACTTTTGACTTTCCTAGATGAAATATGAGACATAATATTAATATTCTGACACTACTAGATGTCAGTCTTTCTGAAAGACTGAATATGAAGATTGGATTTCAAAATCCATTTAAAGGAGAAAAGTTGACTGTATTGAACATGTTTTATAGTGAGTTTCTAGTAATTATTTCTGCAGTATAAGCCTGTTTTGGTGGTTTCACAGACGTTTGTGCTATGGTGGGAGAGAATCTGGTTCTCAAAAAGCTCTGGGAAATTTTTTGTTGGCTTAAAAGAGGTGATTTTTCTCCCCATGGACTTCATGGTTTAATAAGTTGAAATCTGCCTTATTTGCAGGAGCCTCTGCAGCTGTTGAGAAAAAGCAAAAACCTCTTCCAAGACTTAATGTCCATTCTGGATTCTGGATATTGGCATCCATTGTGGTGACCTATTATGTTGATTTCTTTAAAACTATTAAAGAAAACTTTCACACTAGTAGGTAAGAAAACTTTCCTGAATACCACATGATCTCACTTATTTGTGAAATATAATAACCAACATAAACTGATCAACAGAGACAGAAGCATGGATCAGACTGTCAAACCTCAGAGGGAAGGTAGGGCAGGGTGGAGGCTAAGGGGGAGAGATCAACCAGAGGGCTTGTATGCATGCATATGGGCCTAACCAATGGACACAGACACCAGGGGGGTGAGGGCATGAGTGGTTGGCTGGTGGGATAAGGACACATATGTAATAACTTAATCAATAAAAAAAAAAAGTAAGTAAAAAGAAAAGAAAACTTTCCTGGTTCATAAGTTAAACACCCTTGTCTTATTTTTTGTGTTTTATTTTGTCAGTTGAAAATTTTTTTGTTGTTAATCCTCACTGGAGGATATTTTTTCCATTGATTTTTTTTTTTTTAAGAAGGAATGGAGGGAGTGTGGGAGAGAAATAGAAAGAAAGAGAGAAACATTGATGTGAAAGCGATACATTGATTGGTTGCCTCCCACACACACCCCAACCAGGACCGGGAATTGAACCCACAACCCAGTGTGAATTAACCATCTTCCACACTGATTTTCAGCATTCTGAGAAACCTGACTTAGTGTGGAGGAGTTAATGGTGCCTGTTTATTACTTTCACACTCACAACTTCAGAAAGAAAAAAAAAATAACCAGAAAAACAGCTGCTTTCTTTCCTGTGATTTTGAGGAAAATGCATAGTTGTATTTTCCGGGTGGGTTGCTTATGAGCACACACACGCATGCCTGCATTGAAAGGCTTAGTTTTTCATCCTCCCGTGGGTCTCAGGCTCTTCCTTTCTCACCCATGTCCCCGTAGATTGAGACTTTCTGAAATCTGGAATCCAGTGATTGTGGGTCCCTCGGTGTTCCTCTCCCAGTTGATATTCTTGTAGAAACAAGATTTTTTAGGCATCCCAGGAAAACATGTAAGATTTCGGCTGGTTTGGTAAGAGCTGTCAGTCCTGATGCCGTTTTTTCTCTGCAGTTGGTTTCTCTTTGGCGGCGCCTTGCTGCTTGTCAGCCTGTCCATTGCGTTCTACTGCATTCTCTATCTGGAGTGGTACCGTGGGATTGAGGATTACGATGCGAGGTATCCAGCCCTGATACCCGTCACAACTGCTGCCTTTATCGCAGCAGGAATTTGGTATGTTAACTTCAAAATACTGATAGAAATGAAGGTGTTGATCAGGCCCTGATGTACATGGTACGAATTTCAAAGGAAAAAAAAGGGCGAATGGGGAAAATAGTCTCCCTGTCATTTCCAGGCTCCCATTTCCTTATCAGAGATAGGTTCTTTATGTATGTATTTAACTATTTAAAACACAAATGGTGACGAACTGAATGCATTCTGCAATTAGCTCTACAGCGCAATGTGTTACGTGAAATGAGCATTGGCGTAAATCCCTCCAGGTCTGGGAAGAATGGAGCCAACACTTCAAAATCCCTTTCCTGCCTCCCATAGCCACTGCCCCAAGAAAAACACTGTCCTGGTGTATGCTAATTCCTCTCGTGCAGCCCTTAAGTACTCTGTTCTATTTTTTTAACTTTATAGAAATGGATTCAAAGCCTCTATTCTTTGATGTCTGCTTTTTACACATATGATTCACCTGCATTGTTGTCGATAACAGTTGTTGTTCATTGCGGTTGCGCAGTCCAGCCTGTAGCTGAATCCCAATTTCTTTTTCTACTACTGATAGCATTTGGATTGTTTCTAACAGAGAAACGCTTTTAACCATCTTTTAACCATAATGGTTTGATAGTGTGGGAGGTCGAGAGCAGGCGACGGCTATTCTAGTTCATGTCCCTTTGCAGACCCCGACTTGAATCACTAAGTTCCTCTTAAGTAAGGTGACCAGCGTTTTAAAAAGTCCAAAATATTTAAAAGATTCTTTCCAAAAATCGGGATTTTTTTAAGACACCATGGGACGTGGGACAAATTGTTAAAAATCGGGACTGTCCCGCCAAAAGCGGGACGTCTGGTCACCTTACCCTTAAGCCAAGCCAGCCCACATTAGGAGACCTGTGACTCTAGTCTACGCACTTTTTGAAGAGATTGTGATAGTTCCAGTATTTGTTAGATCACATCTTTGAGAGAGGAAAAATCCACATAATGTTGGATGAATGAACTTGCTCAAGCTGAGGAATGACAGTCCTCTCCCTCCAGGTTCCGCAGTAGAGTATGCGGGTGCAGGTTGTAGCTGGAGTGTCAGCCTGTGGTCTTTGCCTTTCAGCTTCAACGTTGCTCTGTGGCCCGTGTGGTCGTTTTTCACTCCGCTGCTGCTCTTTACCCAGTTCATGGGCCTCGTGATGTTCGTCTCACTCCTGGGGTGACTCCCGCAGGTAAGCTGCCTGGGAAGGTCGTGCTGTGATTGACCTCATTTGAAAAACAGCCTTCAGGACAGTTTTCAGGTGCTCCTTGTGCCCTGGTTTGTTTGTGTTCACACGGAGCTCAGCTAGAAGGGACGGAGCGCCTTCCCTTTGGTGTAATGTGGCTCTGACTCCGAGGGCAGCCTCGGCCCCACAGGGCTCACAGAGACAGCACTTGCTCCTCCTGGTATAAATATTCTCACACCTGGGACCAGCGTTTTTTTTTTTTTTTTCCTTTTTCTTTTTTTTTTTAAAATATATTTTATTGATTTTTTTACAGAGAGGAGGAGAGAGGGATAGAGAGCTAGAAATGTCGCTGAGAGAGAAACATCGACCAGCTGCCTCCTGCACACCCCCTACCAGGGATGTGTCCGCAACCAAGGTACATGCCCCTGACCGGAATCGAACCTGGGACCTTCCAGTCCGCAGACTGACGCTCTACCACTGAGCCAAACCGGTTTCGGCTGTGACCAGTCTTTATTGAAGTCAACTCACATACACAGACTATGGGTTGGATTGTGCTTAAAGAATGGGAATTTGGGGGAAATGAACAATTTTACCCAAATGGGGGAAAATTCTGCCATTTCCTGACTATTCTAACTGCCTCATAAAAATCTGATGGATGGCACACCAACTTTTTCCTTCGTCTTATGTATGGGATTTCTGCCTCCCCACTGACCCCTGTCTCCTAATTGGGCCTGTGGCCCCACACGGTGGGGTCTGCTTGCTGAGTGTCAGATAGCACATTAATTAAACACGTGTGTGTTCAAAGGACTCACTCGGGGCTTAGGGTCATGATGAAAGAGACAGGTGGTCTCTCCCTCCCTGTCACTTGTATCAGAATTGGGAGGAAGTTGACTCCAAACATCAGTTTTCAGGATGGAAATTAGCCCAGAGAGGTAAAAGTTATCGGGTGCTAATGAAAATGGCCATGTCCGCAACTGAGCATGTTCTCCCTCTGGAGTTTAGAGGGAAGTCAGTGTATTAACTGGGAAAGAAAGGTGCATAGCCTAATGTTGCCAGCACACCCATGACCATGGCCACGCTGATGTGTGGAGTCCCCCACACCCTGTGCCAGCACATCCATGACCACGGCCACGCTGATGTGTAGAGTCCCCCACACCCTGTGCCAGCACATCCATGACCACGGCCACGCTGATGTGCAGAATCAAACCCCCCCACACGCACACTGCCAGCCCATCCATGACCACGGCCACGCAGAGGTGCAGAATCTGACCACAGCACCCTGATGTGCAGAGTCCCTTCCACATTGCCATGGGGGGCCCCCAGGATTCTTAAGAGTGTGCCCTTTATGCTGTTGATATATGTCACCTTGTCTGACCATGCCCCCTGCTTCTCCCATTGTAATGGTGTTAAGTCTTAAGCCAGTTTTGAGTTTTTGCCCATGTCAGGGAGCTTTGACTGCCTGCTGATATGACTTATCAAATGGTCACAAAAACCTGGCAGACTGAACTGCTTCCTCACCTACATCCACAGCGTAGCACATTGTCTCACTCCGGGCATAAATGCTGGCTTTCTTTCAGGTTCAAGGGCATGTAAACCGAACCATTAAACATCCAGTTGACCGGAAGCGTTCCAGATGTGGAAAAGCTACAATGTGTTTCCGCATCCTGAAGTGAGTGGTGGTCTAGGAAAAATTGTAACTTCATAGATCTGTGATTGAAATCAGAATAAATTATATTTTATTTGCATATTCTTAAATTCAGATGATTTTTCAGATTCAGAATAGGAATAATCTCTTCAAAATAGAAATAGCTAAGTTGCAGTGTGAATCTGAATCCCTGGAGAAAGGATCGTGGGGACGTCTAAATGAAGCTTCATTACAGATGCACAGTACTCCGGTGTTGTCCGTGGCTGCTCACTCTTCATTTGAGGTGACGGACGTGTCCCTGTGCCTTTAGCCCATGAGCAGTGACTGTGGGCCTCACTGTGTGTGCAATGCCTTCGTTAGTGAGGGACCAGCCGAACGTACTCTATGCATTCCTGTTTGGATTTTACCGTTCTGTGTAAATTACTGGGTTTTCAGCATGTTTAACATGTGAACTTTAATGATTTTTAAGTATGTATAATTATTTTCCTTAACATTTAAATAAAATATTTTTATAATTTTCTTGTGATTTTGTAAATACAAACTTGGGAATAGTTTGTTTTCGCTATCAGTGCTGAAAAGTTACCTGTAGAAATGAGGTTTGTTTTTAGAGAAAGCAGCTGCGCTGTTCAGCCTGATGTTAGGACTCACCCGCCAACCCGACACTCCATACTGCCTTTCCCTACAAATCCACATTGACTTGAGCTGAGGTGGTTTTTATGGCGATGGGCACTCCTGGAGCCCCTGCCATCTGCCAGGCCCTCAACTCTCCAGGACCTTCTAGCAGCATCTTAGCGGGCCATTCAGGAGGACTGCGCGGGCTTGGAGCAGACTGAGGGTCTGAGGGAGGGGGTCTGGACCCCGGCCACCCCACCCCACTCCACCCTCAGCTCCAGAAGTAGCTCCCCATTTCTCATGGGAGGGAGAGAGAGCACCTTTGCTTGGGAAATGGCTCCTTGCAGACACGGGGACACCAGTCCCAGCAGGACAGAGACTCAGAAAGACACACCCTCCCCCTATTCATCCATGTAGGGACCAGCGACATAGATGTAGGGACCAGCAACAGCCTGGGGAGCCGCCAGCCTGACAGAGAGGCCCGCACTGAGCAAACGTACGCAGAAACCAGCAGGGAAAGGACAGACGGACTGACACCTACGTCCAGGCTCCCCTGACACCTACGTCCAGGGGGAGCCCGGGACAGCGCCTGTACCCAAGGATCCCAGAGCTCCGCTGGGCCGCAGCCACACCCCCGCGCCCCTCCCGCCCCAGGGGCTGGCTCAGGGGACCCCTGGCCCCCACGCCCACCGCAGGAGCCGGGGAAGCTCCTGTCGCTCGCCTGGGGGCCGGGCGCCTGGGACGGAGCTGGAGGAAGGGGCGAGCGTCAGGGTAGGGCTGCCTGAGGTCCGGGGCATCAGGGGCGGGAGCGGCCGCGTGGGTCGCGGAGGGTGGATAAGAGGGAGGGAAGGAAGGAGGGAGGCGGGAGGGAGGGAGCCCCAGCATCGCGGGGCCAGGGGAAGTGGGCGGTGCGCACCGGAGCGGAGTGACCAGGTCAGCCCGGTGCGCCCGGGGGCGGTGGTGCCTGGCCTGGGGCGGGAGAGGGAAGCGGGCCTAGGAGGGTGCCGGGAGGTGGGACTGGAACAGGGCGTCGGGGCGAGCTAAGACAGGGGGGCAGGTGGAGCCCGGGGCAGCCTCTCCGGACCGGACTCCGCGGGCCGCTCCAGGATGCCCGAGGGTCCGGGGGCGCCGCCCTCTCTCCGGGCGGCCCGGAGCGCCCCGGACCGAGGGCCGTCGGAGCCCGCGCTCTGCCCGCAGCCTCAGACCCTGGCCCCGGGCTCCCGGGGGCTCCCGGGGTCCCCAGGGTCCCCGGGCCCGCGGCGGGGCGCCCCCGGCGGCGTCCCGCAGAAGCTGGCCGAGGCGCGCAGCAGCCAGTACGGGCTGAACGTGTTCGTGGCGGGGCTGCTGCTGCTGCTGGCCTGGGCCGTGCACGCCGCGGGCGTGGGCAAGAGCCTCCTGCTGGGCGCGCTGACGGCGCTCATGCTGCTGCAGCTGCTGTGGATGCTGTGGTCCGTGGGCCGCGCCGCCCGCCGCCGCGCCCGCCCCAAGGACACGCAGGCCGGCGCGCGCTGGCTCCGCGGTGAGTGCGGGAGGGGGGCTGCAGCCAGGCCCCTCTGTTCCCTCCCCCTGCCTGCTTCTCTTTTCGGTCTCCGTCTTCTGGGCTTCTTTCCTGGCTCTCCCAGCCCGCCCTCCCTTCCCTCCAGCCCTCCCTTCCCTCCAGCCCTCTCCTTTCTTGGCAAAGCCTGGATGGCTGCAGTAGCCGGTCTCCTCTACCCTCAGGCTCTGGTCTTGCATCCCATTGTCAGAGCTTCCACTGCCCCCAGGATGGACACCACGCTCCCCATCCTGGCACTCAATAATAATAATGAATAATAATAACAACAATTATTAATATTATTATGTGGGTTAATCCTCATCCGAGGACACTTTTCCATTGATCTTTTTAGAGAGAGTGGAAAGGAGAGGGAGAGACAGAGGGAAACATTGATGCGGGAGAGACACATCAATTGGTTGCCTCCTGCACGCACCCGGCCTGGGCCAGAGAACTGCAACTGAGGGACATGCCCTGCCCTTGACCAGTATAGAACCCAGGACCCTTCCTAGTCCGCAGACCAACGCTCTATCCACTGGGCCACACCTGCCAGGGCCTCTTTAGTTTTAACACGGTGCTCCCGTCTCAGAGGCTTTTAGGTCTGCCATAATATTGCGTTTCCATGACTTCGCGTATTCTGTTCCCTCCTCCTGGAATGCCCTTTCCCCCACCCCTCTCTCTTCCTCCCCAGTGATGTGTCCCCAACCTCCCCACCCCCGCTCCCACCCCCTTTGGGATAATGATCGCACATCCCCGCCCTGGCTGTGCCCTGGGTGGACACTGTTCTACCTGTTGACACTCTTATCCCCTCTATGGGGAGGTTGGGGAGGGGGGGGGGTGGCTATGGTGTTGGTCTCTTAGTCCTGGGCCATTCAGGCCCGGCACAGAGCAGGTGCTGGGAAAACACAGTGGGCAGATGAAGGGCGGATGAGGAGCAGGTAAAGACCGGGGCGGTGGGGGGTAGAAGCACCTGCTGGGTTCTCACAACATATCGATGGAAACTTCATCCAGACAGGAGCCCTCCCCATCCTCCAGGAGCTCCCGCCCCTGAAGGGAGGCAGACACGATGCGGTCACAGGGGAGGCCGTGGGCGTCTGTGGAGAAGGCCCGCGTTCAAGCAACCATCACGAGGGAGGCAGGTCCACACACTGCACACCCACCTGAACGCTCCTGTTCCAGTCTCCCTAAGGTTGCGCCTTCACTGCCCTTGCTTCACCCCTTAATCTGCCCACCCCCCAGTTCCAGCCCGTGCAGCCCGGAAATCACACTTAGAACCAATGACTGCCGGTGACAGGTGAGGGCCCAGCACTCATTTGTCCTCCTTCCCACCCTCCTTCCCTTCCAATGCCTGCCCCCATGCCCCCTTCCCCCACCTGCTCACTCCCACGGACGCCACAGCTCACGGCTCTCCGAGGGAGCCATCGGGTCCTGGCCGGGTTCTACCTTGTGCTATGACTCCCTGGATGTGAGTCTGTCATGCGGGTGAGATTTTAGATTCTCAGGCTCAGGGACTGTGCCCACTAGCAGTTCATCTTGCCTTTGGGAGAACTGGACCCAGCTCCGGGGTAGCCCAGCCTCCTGATCCGAAAATGGCTGTGCTAGGGAGGTTCTTGGTTTTGGGACTGTGAATGGCAGGGATCTGGCGCTGTATCAAACAAACAGAGGTGAAATGTTGTTTTGAGGATACGGACTTACACAGGCTAACAAATATTAGAAACACAGGCTTTTGACCTGTGCTTCCTGTAGCGGAAGGACCCTTTCTTTGTCCCGCCCTCACTTCCTCCTTCCTCCCTCCTCCCTCCTTCTACCTGCATTCCTTCCTTTCTTTGTTGCTCCTTCCTAACCCCAGCTCTCTCCTCCCTTCCTTCCTTTCTCCCTCCTTTTTCTCGCTTTCTCCCTCCTTCCAGAAGGCTCCAAGCTCTGTGGCCTGGGTGAGCGGGTGAATGGTGCTGCATTTCGGAAGAGTGGAAGGACGGGGAGGAGCAAAAGGGAGAATGTGGAGCCAGGGCTTCTCTGATGGCCGTGTTGTCATGTGAGATGTCTATTGGACACTGAGCAGAGATAGGAAAAATGAGGCAATAGAGAGAGAGCGCACAGTAGGTGCTCACTAAATGGTGGCTGTTAGACACTCAACATAATAACATAACCGTTCGGATGAGGCGTGTGGACCATGGAGATGGAACTGGCCATGGAAGGCGGGCTCGCTATCTGGCTCTATCACCATCACCTTTCTTTTTTTCTTCTTTTCTTTTTAATATATTGTATTGATTTTTCACATCAGGAAGGGAGGAAGGGAGAGGGATAGAGAGTTAGAAACATCGATGAGAGAGAAACATCCATCAGCTGCCTCCTGTACACCCCCTACCAGAGATGTGCCCACACCCAAGGTACATGCCCTTGATCGGAATCAAACCTGGGACTTTTCTGACGCTCTATCCACTGAGCCAAACCGGTTTCGGCTCTTCTTATTTTTTAGAAATATATTTTTAGTGATTTCAGAGAAAAAGGCAGAGGAAGAGAAAGATAGAAACATCAATGATGAGAGAGAATCATTGATTGATTGCCTCCTGCACGCCCCCTACTAGGGATGGAGTCTGCAACCCAGGTACATGCCCTTGTCTGGAATTGAACCCAGGACCCTTCAGTTTGCAGGCCGATGCTCTATCCACTGGGCCAAGCCGGCTAGGGCGCCATCACCTTTCTGAGTCCGGTTTCTTCACCAGTAAAATAAGAATCCGGGCTGCCTCTCAGTGAGGGGCTGGGAGGTGTCCCGTGAACGCAGTTTGCAAAGCACATCCATCCCCCTCAGAGAGCTGTGACTCATCAAAGAAGCGAGAGGCCAATTATCCCACAAGAATGGCGGAGGCCATGGTGCCAGGAGAAGTGCCCTCAGCCTGTGTCTGAGGTTTCCCTGGAGCCCGAGCTGGAAAGACAGGTCCGGCCTCGCTCTGCCCCGGCTGCTGTGGCCGCCTCAGCCGTCAGCCCGCCCGCCTGGGGAATGCCAGCGCTGCGGTTTTCCAGAGAAAGAGTTTGGGTCTCAGTTGTAAGGCTTTGCCTTGAGCAGGAAATATCCTGTTCCACCTGCTGGGTGTGAGGCCGTGAGAATGTCAGTCGGCTGAGCACAGAAGTTTTACTCAAGGGTCTGAGAGTTTGCAGACTTAGAACACAGGTAGGCAAAACCCCAGAGGTGTTCCTTCTTAAAGTAAGAATTATATCCTTGAGGATAACCAGCCCTGCCATGTTCGATCTTTTAAAAAAAATGTATGTCATTGATTCTTTTTAGAAAATATATGCTTTTTTTTTCCCTTCTTTTTTTATTGATTTGAGAAAGAGAGGAAGGGAGAGGGAGGAGAGATAGAAACATCCCTGGGAGAGAGAATCATGGATCAGCTGCCTCCTGCATGCCCCCTACTGGTGATTGAGCCTGTGACCCTGGCATGTACCCTGACTGGGAATCAAATCTTGACCTTCTGGTTCATGGGTTGATGCTCAACCACTGAGCCATGCTGACCGGGCTATTTTATTGTTATTTATTTATTTTTATTTTTTACTGGTTTCTGTCCGGTCTGAAGCCCAGGGAAGTGTTACTAAAAGAATAGTGGGACTGACAAGGAGAAGAACAGCCATGGGTATCGAGTGCATTTGGAATGCCGAGACATTGGGAGCATTGGCCCAGCTGTTAGACATAACATTTAAAAAAAAAATTTTTTTATTTATTTCTATTGCATTGACTTTTTAAAATATATTTTATTGCTTAAGGGAGAGGGATAGAGAATTAGAAACATCGATGAGAGAGAAACATCCATCAGCTGCCTCCTGCACTCCCCCCACTGGGGATGTGCCTGCAACCATGGTATATGCCCTTGAACGGAATCGAACCTGGGACCTTCTAGTTCATAGGCTGACGCTCTATCGGTTGAGCCAAACCAGCCACGGCACACAATAATTCTTTCTTGTGTGTGTGTGAGCACTCACCCTCAGATTGGCTTCTTGTGTGAGATGGGCTTTACACAGAGTGCTTTTCTTCAAATGAATCACACGCACGCACACCACACATTGCATCTCTGTGCAGCGCCTTACCGGAAGTGGGCTGCTCAGAGCTCTCTGCTCATTGCCCCTCGAGGGACTAGACATGCAGGGCAGAGTGGCTGCTGACAGACAATCAGCTGGGGCTGGAGGCAGGGGTGTGGGGAGGTGGCTGTAGGGGCTGTGGAGACAAAGGTCCACAGCACAGTGGAGGGCTCAGGAAATAGGCTGTGCTGTCACATGTGTGAGAAAGAACATGTATGAGGAGGGCGGGTGCTGTGGGTGTGGTGACAGAGACAGGGTGGAGGGGCAGGGACGAGGGCTACAGGACACAGATGCACGGGTCCCAGTGCTCAGGGAGCCTGCAGCCTGCAGTGCAGCCAGGATGGACGAGGCGCAACAAGCTCATGACCAGAGCCTGGGCGCCCCTGTGCTTTCCCACCTCGAGGCGTATGTTCATCTTTTTTTTAAAAAAATATTTTATTGCTTTTTTACAGAGAGGAAGAGAGAGAGTTAGAAACATCGGTCAGCTGCCTCCTGCACACTCCCTACTGTGGATGTGCCCGCAACCAAGGTACATGCCTTGACTGGAATTGAACCTGGGACTCTTCTATTCACTGAGCCAAACCAGTTAGGTCCGCATGCTCATCTGACTGAGAACGTCTCTTCTCTTGCAGACGCAGCCCCTCCCAGACACGGCTGCTTCTTTGTTCTGTCCGGGGTGTAGCATCCGTGTGTCGGGGCAGCCCTCAGTTCTCTGTATACAGTAGCTTTACTGAGACACAGCCCCCAGCTCCATGAGTCACCCAACTAGAGTGCACAGCTCCACGGCTTTTAGCATAGTCACAGGGAGGGCCAGGGTAGGGGACCTTCCTGGCCTCTCAAAAAGGACCCCCCACCTCCAGTCACCACCCCCCTCCACTCCTGTCCGCCTTGTAATGTCCTCAGTGTCACAGCAGTTC